CATTCACACACTACTTTTTGTAAGTGACAACGTCTGTTTAATTGATATTAGTAAAATGCCACTGATGAGAATCAAGGCTTGTTCTAGTGAGAAAATTATGTTGCTTTACGAGGGGGTAAAAATAAGTGCTGCTGTTTTCTCTCTGCAATGCTACGTCTCATCACCTTTGGATGCAGAGCATGGTCGCACCGACCGGCTTATTATAACCTCGATGAACCTTTCAAACCACGAGATATTCTGCAAAGATTTATTGCAAACAAAGGCACGTGGAGAGGAGACACAAGGATGGTGGACAGTGGATCAAAGGGGGTATGAAAACATGCAAAAGGAATGAATCCCTTCAAATGCAACGAAAAGTCCATGCAGCGTAAACTGATCTGGTGTTGAGTTAAGCGCAAGTAAGTATAAAGAAGCACCTTCACACCTCCAATCAAGAACAACTTTCTCTCTCTCGTATGTAAATAGACCAACGTACGTCACATCCGATTAAAAACGGAGCACAAATACTTAACAAGTCTTGCAATGGCGAATGCAGATTTATTTTCCATTCAAGCAGTGACAATCCTCGATCGAGGCTACCTTTTAAAGATTCCCCTTCTTGCGAATTAGTAAAGGCCAGCTAGTTTTAAGCTTGCAATTCTTATCTGGTAACACGAACAAGGATAAAGCACCCAAGCTTCAGTTCAGAAATGGCTCACATTGCCGCAAATGAGTAAGCTCTGACATAAAACGAACACCATCGCTGGGTGGGGGCAAAGATATTGAACAATTCATAACCAATCTCTTTGTCTTTGTCAACGACGGAGGAAAGAGGGGGTTCTTGACAGACTTAAACTCTGTTCAACAGCTAGAACCTTCGGATAATCAATAAATAGGGACATTATTGACTTCATCAGTTACATTTACTGGGCGCTAACATTAGGTTTAGCGAAAGCACAAGAAGTTCTGGTTTAGAAATATTATGTTCTAATAATATTCAATGACAGCCACCACTTAAACTGCTGTCCGCCCTTTTCCTTCTGTCACCCTTTTCGTTATCGTGGTCAAAAAGTCCAAAGAAAAACCTTACCAACAAGACACAACTTTTTATTAAAAAAAAGTCTAGGCGTTGGGTTTATTTGTAAAATTCCAGGGTGTAAAGGAGAATCTGTTACTTTTTCTAATGTGCAATAAAACCAATTGCAAAATGCCCTATATTAGTTGAATTCTGCGGGAAACTGGGGGGAAAAAAAAACAAATTCTAGGCAATGTGAATGATTGCCAAGGTAGCTTGATGGTAAATAATGAGCCCGAAAATAACAAAGGTGTATTCATCGAGAAAGTAACATTTGGTTAATTAAAAAGTTTATTTAAGGATCGGTTTACTTAAATGTGTGAAGCTCCCAGTCGATTTGAACACACGTTGCCTCGGCTCTGGGTATTTTCCTTGACGTATTTTGTTTTCCGGTTATTTTAACAAATTATTTTGCTGACCCGTTAAATAGTGGCACACGTTTGCAGCCACACCCGCTGATAATTGCGAATCTCTAACTTAAACTTAAGGCGATGCTACACACTTCGGTTAGACCTTACGAGTCTACAGTTATAAACGGCTGAGCAGAAAGGGCTGAGTTAGTGAGAACACAGATTAAAAAGCATCTTAAAAGCCTTCACCTACAAATAGAAAACTACCTCCTACATACAATACACTACATGCTAATATTTAACAATTGTCCATATAAAATTAAACACACATTGCCAAGCTGTGTACTTTAACAAAGCTTTGCTTGCACGTGCTAGCTACTGTTACTCACTATGATACAAATCAGCAAAAAACACAACAGAAAACCTGGGTGTCATTTATGGACTAAAATTCTCGTCAGGTCAAAAACGACATTTTAATTTGTTTTCCAACGAGACTTTCGGATCGACAGTGAACTTTGTTTATGAGACTCCTTTGAAGCTGTTTCAGATATACAATACACAATATTTATACCATGATTTGACTTCAGTTCACACACATATACTCGCTAATTCCTTCGATCCATGAGATGTGCGTGCACTCATGGTTCCATTCATCAGGCTGTCAAGCTACAATAATGACCATTTGGATGAGACGGGGATGGTGGTGGTGGGAGGAAAGGAAGGTGTACAGAACATTAAAGAGATGGCTGGCTGAGAGAAGCGACATGGAGTATGGGGGAGAGAGAGAGAGAGTGCGTGTGTGTGTGAGAAAGCGAGCGATAAAATGGAGCGTATTACAGACCAGCAAAAAAAAATAGAAAAACAGCCTTGGAACGAGAAATAGAAGAAACTGGGGAGACCACCTCAAAATGAAACTTAAATGCACCTAAACATACTTCAATGCCCCAGAAATCGAAACAAAAACTAAGAATACAAATGAAAAACAACTTTTTTTTTGCGCAACAGGTCATGGTACAATTTTTGTCTCTTATTAATATTCAAGATACATTTGAAGCAACCACAAAGGCATAAAGTATGTGTTGAACTGTTTGGGGGAAGGCGGAAATGGCATGTCATGTCTTTATTCAGGATCTAAGACAGTAAAACAACTAATACCGCAGAGAAGAACCATGAGAATAGTGTGTATGATATTGATGAGCTCCCTAAGGAGGCTGTTGAGTTTTCAGTCCATGAACAGCAAATTGCAATGAACAAAGAGACCCATGCAAAGGTTCGGTGATGTAAGAAACCATGAGTGAGGTTGGGAGGGAGGTGGTGGACGAAAAGGGGAACCATCATTGCACGAGATTGAGGGCGTGTGTGTGTGTGTGTATGAAGACAGGCAGGGAAGGGGGAAAAGAAGGGAGGGAAAAAAAGGGGATGGGGTAAGAGAGAGAGAGAAAAAAAGAAAAAAAGGTCATAAATACAAAAAACAAATCAACAAGAAGGTAAACAAATAAAGCGTAAATGTTAAATTGAAACAAAAACAGGTTAGAGAAATACTTAAACATAAAGGAGTAAGTATGCTTAATTTTAAGCAGAGTATGAACAAGCACATTAGAGGTCAAAGATCGCTCATCATGATTAAAAGGGTTAAAAGAAAACGCAAAGGAAAAAAGACAAAGCTGGAGGAATGGAAATGAGCATACAGCGGAGTGAACTGAATAATAAGAACCAGTAAGTTGGTTATAAATGAAAGAAGAAGTAGCAAGGATTAAGCCTGGTACGCCAGAATTTTAAATGGATGTTGTTTTCTACTTGACTGCCACATGGTAATTGCATTCAGTTAAATGACTTGAAACTGCTGCATGGATCAACGGATCCATCACCCATGCCCCAAGCTGGTTCGATGTAAGTAACTGTGTTAGTGAAGCGAAAGGCCAAAGTATCCATTCAGCCTGGACATGCATACTGCAGCAACGCCCTGCTGCATCCCCAGAAGAAACATTGATATTGTATTCATTTGTCACTCACTACACTCTGAAACACCTTGAGCAAGGACCGAGTTTAAATAGCCAAAGGTCCAATTGATCACTCCTCATTGCCAACAGTCAATGCACCAATGCAAAAAAAAAGTGAGCCTCGAAACCTTGGAAAACAGTGCAACAGTTGTACCGTCTGCATGCGATTACATCTGCACGTACTAACGTTGAAGGGAACCTTGCCTGCATCTATTTTACTTGCCCATTTCGCACTGCAAATGCCTGAGTAATTGGACTGCCTTGGATGCAATCCTGTCTGTGAGAATCCAGTGATTCGATTCACAAACAGCACGAGACGAGAGCGTGTGAGAGAGAAAAAAAACTGCGGGGAGCTATCCAACTGACTGTGGTGGCAGTCCCTCGTGTGTTTATAGTCGTAGAAAATGATCAGAATAAATGCTGCGGCAAGTATCTTTCAGCGCGTCGGTTTTCAGTAGGGAGGCAAGGGTGATTGAACCATGAGGCATATCTTTCTGTCCTCTGTTTGGAGACAGAAGTGCACGCCAGGAGGCTTTTTAATCACTGTTTCGTGCGCTGGCTCAAATTGTGGGAAGGTCAAGCCTTTTGCAACATTTTCTGAGTAGTCCCACTTGGGCAGGATGAGAGACCGGTAATTATTAGCAAGTCTGCCGAAATGCAAAACATGCCGTCCATAATGCAATCACAAGGACAGGATTCCTCTGATTACATTACAGTTATCACAGCCTCTCGGAAAGGATTTATTCCCCTTGTGGCAGCGCAGCAGGATAAATAATAATAATAATAATTCTTGCATTTGATATGGCGCCTCATCACGTCTTCGAGACATCTCAAAGCGCTTCACAGAATATATCGTATTTTGTGATGAGGGAAATTGAGGGTTAACTACGAGCAATCAGCGCGATGAAATCGCACCAAAAATGAGGTTTATTTGCGAAGAAAAGATCTCCCTGGACCACAAATGAACCAGTGGTTTTCCGACTTGGTGATAAAGATCTTGTAAGGTTTTAGCAAAATTTACAGCGCATTAGAAGGTCATTCAGCCAATCTTGTCCTTTCTGGCTATTTGAAAGAGCAATCCATTCAGTCCCATTTACCTGCCTCTCCCTCCACCCTCCCCGCTCCACATAGCCATTATTCCTCTTGATATCTCTCTAGTTCTTCCTTGAAAGCAAACATGGGACCTATTGTCGTGTACCATACGTATGATTTGATCCCTCCAGTGTACCACTTCACTGGCTAGCTTTTAAACGTTTAAATTCGTTTTCGAGAGGGAACTGGATAGATATCGAACAAGAATTAACTTGCAGCAGTATTCACAGGGAGGAGAGGAGGGAGGTAAATGGGACTGAATGGATCACAGTCTGAAATTCGGAGCCTTTGAAAATTTCCAGTGAGGTTTCCCAACAGCCTGAGCGAGTAAAGGTTCCTCTATCAAGTGCAGAGATATAATTTAGCAATGATGCCTGACACAGAAACAGATGAATACTATATAATGTATTGTTCATTGTTTTATGAGCGACTATATTTGGGGATGCAGCATCTTTGCGAAATTTAATGCAAATAATAAGTTTGAAAAGCAGCCAGAAACCATACCTGGGATGACAGTGGGCTCTACTGAAGTTCTGAAAGAGAAGGAACCAGCTTCAGATCTTCCTTGCTGGTTTTCAGCCATCACATAAACCTCGTACTCCGAGTTCCATTCCAGATTTCCAAGGATAACATATTCACTGTCGGCTGGCAGTCTCATCTCAGGTTTCCAGTTGGAGTTATGTCTCTGAAAAATAAAGCAACCTATAAACACACCTGGCTCACATGTAGAAACCACCACTCTTGACCTGGGTTCGATTCCCCGGCCGGGCGAAACGATGGGCAAGTTTCCTTACTCCACACGCCTCTGTTTGCCTAGCAGTAAGTAGGAAATCCGGTTGTTAAGTCGATTGGCGGATCACTTTTCCGGGGTCATGATCCTTTCGAAAAATAAATAAATTTTTAAAAAAAAATTTGGTCACTCAGTTCACGACCGTTTGTGGGACGCGGCTGTGCACAATTGGCTGCCACGTTTTGCCCACAAAATATACAGTCAGTTCACTTTAAGCTATATCCTTTGACTTGCTTTGAGACGTCTACGAAGACCTGATAAGGCGCTACATCAAATGCAAGGATTCTTATTCTTATTAGAACTGGGAGCAGTAGATGCAGTGAATGAAGCTGCCTTTTTACCCTGTGCTTCCATCCAATCCATTCCTCGTCAGTTCCAGGGAATGTGCAATTGAGCAGCTGAAGAATCAACGGATTGTAGATCGAGCGACTGCACAGGGCATCAGGACGGAGTCTAGTTCAGCGAAAGCTTTCCTACCGATTGGTGATGAGCGCACACACTCGCTGCCGTATTTTACTGTACGATCAACAGCTCAGCGAGTTACGCTTACATTACGTCTCTCACGTTGGGAGGAAGGGAGACAAGGCGGAGTGTCTCAGAGTTCAAAACAGCGGTGGGATTGGGGGCTCGAGGTGGGTGAAGGCTTACTCACTGATGGCGGGGGGCACAAAGCAGGGAAGGGTATGCCGAGGGCGGCTATGCGGAGAGACTGGAAGGGGCAGTCAGGACGCAGGGTGTCTCGGAGGTAGGTTTCGGGGAGGGAAGTGGAGGCCTTGGAAAGCGATGACAAGAACGTTGAGCTGATCTTAAAACAACCTCGAGACCCCAACATTTCAGAAATTTCAAAGTATTCATATGTTCATAGGATGAATGACCACACTTACAGCTTTGTATCTGACCAGGTAATGCTGGATAGGAGATCCGCCATCATCTTGCTTGATCCAGTTGACCTTACAGGTATTCCCGTTGCCAATTACGTGTCCTTCAAGCTTAGGCGAACTCGGCTCCCCTGCAAGTCAACGTCGGCAACGACACAGTTCTTAAAACATTGTCGATGAGCGAAACCGTCAGAAAACACCACAAAACTTTTATACTTCGGCGAATCTCATTGTTTCATTTCTTAACCAAAGTCTTGCAATAAATAAACAAATAAACAAACAAATAACCAAACAAACAAACAAATAAATAAATGAATTTCAAATAACTTTTACTGAGAACAGAACTGCATTTGAGGAACATGGCAGCTTTCTGCATTTGTTAATTTGCCTTACCCAATGTTACAAGAAGTCATTTGTTGCGTGGGTTGATGTACAATCAATGGAATTATAGCTGAGCTAAATATGGATGTTCAGGAAGTATCTGTGAAAAAAAGGAACTGCACTACAGGCTCTGGCGTGCTTAAAGGGCTTTGGTTTCTTCAGAGCTTTGGCTATTCGACCTCACCCATTGATTCTCACCTGATGTGGAAGTAGCCAGAGTGGAAGTCTGCGGTTAACAGGTCAGATACGGATATGTGACTGGGTATATGTGGCTGTCCGCTTGCGGTTATTTCAAGTCCTGACCATTTCAAATTATGTTTTGGGGTTTGGGTTTCCAACATAAACCAAGAAGTTGTTATTTTTAAAAATATAGTAATACGGACGGATTTAAAACTAAATCCGGTGTGGTCTCCTATTGCTAATACTGTATTATGTCAGGGTTGAGCCTGAATCTGCTCAAAAAGATGATAATAACAATAATAATCCTTGCATTTGATATCCCTTATCATGTCTTCGAGACTTCTCAAAGCTCTTCAGAGAATATACTGTAAAGTGAATTGACTCTACATTGTAGGATGCAATGGAGCCCTACTCTAAAACAACCACTTTTGGGGAATAGATTAAACCCCTCGATCTTGGAAGAGCTTCTGAGGTTGGCAGTCAGGATGTTGATGTGCCAGGAACTCAGGTGTGCTTCTGACACATGAATGACGTGACAATATCACATGTTTGCAGCCATGTGTCTGGTACGTGAGGAAACTCATCACCATGCTAAACACGGAAACTTGGCTAGAGTACAGAAACTTGAATCCGTATAGAGTAGAATTGCAATTTCCACCAGATTGTATATTTGACTGGGAAAACCATTCCGATTCCCATGGTGATCCACAATCATATTGAGCGATGTCTTTTGGGCAACAGATCAACTTTAGCTGATGCATAAGGAATTTTTGCAATTGATCTCATCTAGAAACCCCCTCCCCCTCGTCACTGAAAAGGCCCAAAGAGAAATGATTTAAAGCTGCTTTCTTGCGGGAATTGGATTGTGATGGGAGTGTCACTTTTACAACTGTAAAGGTCATATTTGAATGAAAATCAGATATCCTCATTAAGTATCCTGGAACGCTCAACCTTTCTTTCTACGTGAACGATGAACATTGCAATGAGATTTTCATCGACTCTTTTGGCAAATGCTTTGCAAGTAGACATTTAACGGAATTACTTTTGAAACCAAGATGCTACCTGTCGGAAAGGGTTGCAAAGAAAGTCGGGAAAGCGCCTTGATTCGGGTGGGCAACCGACCAGGGTTTGGCCTTTTGTGGTTACAATCAACTTCCGTTGAACAGGACCGTTTATACGGTCGCAATATCAAATCAGAATCAAATCATCTCCGAGCTTCAGTCATTCCTGAAATTTACACCCACAACAAACGTAGGAGAAATTGAAAGAAACTCAATACATATTTCCCAAGCAGGGCTTCCGTTTAGTGGCACATTAATCACACACAGCGGCTTATCTACAGCATCTGGACGAACAAATGGGTTGGGAGGACATGAATACCCTATTAAGTTCAGCCGTTGGGAGGGGAGAGCAGACCCTAAAAGGTCACACTTATGCCTATAAATGACTCTTCGTTGCTTTTGATGACGTGAAGCAATGCGTCGGACTGTTTAAACTATCATATCTCAAGAAAAAAAATGCAGTTCTGTTCCAGCAGATCAGTTATGTGGTGTTCTAGCTCTTATAGGGAGACCAGGTTAGTGCTGAAATCTTTGTGATTTAAGAATTGAAAGCAAAATGCTTCGAGAGGGAGCAATGGCAAGGAAATGTGGACATAAAACATGTTGGGATTGCAATCTTTTGATATGAGGGCAATTTTTTTTCCCCCGGACGGCATAAAGCTGACTGACAAGTTCATCTGATCATTCCTTCTGAATCGGCTCCCGAGGAACTAACCCGAGTAAGCAAGATTCAGTTCAGTACTGAACATATCCGAGTTTGCTTTTGATCTATTTGACAGCACGTGAGGGGGTTCTGTACAGTAAACTATATGTGCACCTAGAAAATAAACATGATTTATACTTGTGCTGCTCAGGAATGCTCAGAACACTGCAGCAAATTTGAGGATTTACAGACAGATTTTACTGCATTTTGGGGATTGAAAATCATTGCCAAACAAACATGTACATTAAGACTTTTAAGTCTTCCCTGGTCTCCGTGATAACAGCTATCACTATGTACTTTCTTTACTCCTTCTGATGTTAACATCCGTCTTATGCAACTGTTTAATTAACGTAATTATATTCGAGAGAAAACTACACAGGCTCCATTGAAACCCCCGGACGTAAATTGATTAATTTATCAAAGAATAGTCTTGCAATCTCAATAAACACAGAGTTATGCTGGAACTTAATAGGTTAGTGACATTCCAAAAGAAGAGACAGAAAGATAGCTGCTCCTTGTGAAGGCCTGTTCCATAGGGCACGACAGCTCTAGACATTCCACTTATTAAGTGCGTCTCTATCCCCTTTCTGGGCAAAATTAAAAGACGTTAAACACGAAGAAGAAAAAACACCGGCCCAAATCATGCGTGAGACATGCAACACTTCCACACATCGTACTGGCAAGGATGATGGAACTAAATTGTCGGGCTATAAATGAAGAAAAAAGATTTAGTTAACATGCATGTGTGACAGTGCCCATTTACACCGGGTGCTTCCTGGCATTCAGCTGCAACTTTAGCAGGAGGTTTGAGACAAATGTCCTTTTATCTGGCTTTTTTCACAGATTTTACCAAATGCCAATCACTGAGGGCCAAGGATTCGATGCCGCACAGTCAGCAATGGAATTGGACTAACTCCTTTTGATCTGCTGAGCGTCTTTTACACAGAGGAACCTTCCGATTGCTGTCCCGAGCCTTTTTGGGAACGCAGTCCTGCTTTCCGTCTTGCCTCTGGCGTTGGAACGCGCTGGGTGTAAATGGTACTTAAAATTCTTTAAAAGGCAATGCCTAAGTGAGAGGAGTGCCGCTAATATGTTCTGAGCAAATGCAAGGAGAGAACTATTGAGTCACAGTCGGAACAAATGCAGAAAGTAGATGTGAAGAAGGCACAGCATGGAGGGAAAGAAACCCATGGCATAACCAATCTGCATCCACTACACAAATGGCATGCATGGGGAATACAAATCACAGCCTATTTGTAAACCTTTTTTTGGATGTCGCCCGTCAAGGCATCGAGAGGGGGGGGGGGGGGGGGGGGGAAGAACTACTGGCCATACATGCAGCAATGCTTGTGAGTTACGAGCGTTAGTCTTGATCCGCGTTCTAACCTACCCAGGCGCTGCCCTCTTAAATACCAAACAAAAAAGGGGATTAAAGAAGCAGAATCTGCAGACACCAGTGCAACTGATTTACACGGGCGGGTCAGTGACTGTGAATGGCTCTTACACGCAGGAAACTGCCTGAATTGTTATCTCGCTTTACGCAGGGCAGCACTGGCAGACGAGATCACCTGCTCAGAGTGCTGGGGAACGCTTAAGCCAGATGTTAGGAGTTAGTAATGTTAATCTGATCACACATATTTAACCGAGTACGATTCCCACCAGCACGGAGTTTTGTTTCAGTTTTGTGCAGGTATAACAGATTTTCGCTAATTTGCTTGGGAGTAGCAACAAGGTTGTGGTTTTTTTTTTTGCGCGTACGTGAAGTGATTATCTGGGACAGATATCTCGCTAAGTTAAACGCCTTCCTTTTCTCTCTCTCTCTCTTTCTTTCCTTTTCTTTCTGATACAGCCAAGATCAGTGGGGGTCGAATCAGAATTTAGCTGTAGCTTTAAAGCCATCGATATCCTCCCTGATTCATTTCAATACGACAGAAAGGCTGTCACTGTCGCTATCATTCATAAATCATTTGCATTTTGCATTCATCATAAATTTCAAAAGGTCCAGAAGAGAAAATGTATATTAATGCGGACTTTTTCCTTTATTTAATTAAAACCAATCCTGAAAGCATTACAGCTCTGGAGGTTAAAAAAAATTATATTATTATTCTAATTGCCTCCCTTATTTTTGTTAAATCGGATAATTAAGGATTTAATTATATATAAATGCATTGGGAAAATATTACCATACACTTGATTCTGCTGAACCCCATTAACTCCGCCAGATCAAAGAAGTGAGTTACTTTAATTTCATACCCAGGCAAAATCAAAAAAGCAATCCGGTGAAAACCACAAATAAACCTCCCTATTTAGGTTCTTTTCCCCCTTTCTTCTGACTTTTACCCCGTCTGCCTTTTGCATTTCAGCGTAATGCTCTGGTTAAATGATGGGACACTTTAGTTTCAGGCGTTGGAATTGAAACTACTGCTTTCATTTAAAGCGCCTTGGAACGTCCTCCTGACGCGAAAGGCGCGATACCAACATAGTGCGTTGTGGTCGTTGTTTTAAGACTTTTTTTTTTACGTCAGGAGACTCTCTCCTCTCCGACCGCCCTAGCCCGCCTCACCCCCCCCCCCCCCCCTCCCCATCCCCCCCCACCCCACCGACCCTTGGCGATAATCGAACAGGTTAAGAGAAAGTCTCTTTTGGTCGAGTGTCGTCATTGTATTGTATTTTACCAATCAGAACAAAGATTTTACCTTCTGTTCACCAGCGTGGGACGACATCAGCAGCGCCATGCAAGCCACATGACACAGTCACATGATACGCACGTACATGATTGTTTGAAAGGAAAGTGGAGGAGAGCACATGGAAAATACAAAATTAAAACCGATGTAAACATGGGCAGGAACAGAGTTACAGACTGAATAAAAACAAAGCCAAAAAATCAAAATCAAAAGACATCCAAGTACAAATGGGACGCCGGCATAGTTTTTTTTTTCCGTGTGCGTGCGTGCGTGCGTGCGCGTGTGTGCGTGTGCGTGCGTGGGAGGGAGCGGGGTGGGGGTAAGGGGGTATTTAAATCAAGCTCTCCCCGGTAGAAACGCACATCGGCAGTCTCTCTCTCTCTCTCTCTCTCTCTCCTCTGGCTGTAATTGTAAATCAGAGGGTTTAGTGGTTAACAGTTTATGTTTCTTTGCAGTTTGGCGATAGCGTGGGGTGCGGAGAGAAATTGCAAAAAAAAAAAAGCATTTTGTTATAGGAACGCAATTAGTATCAGATAAAGCTTAACCACCCTCCGACTCGAAGAGTACGCAGAGAATATTTTCTCTGTCTCTCTCTCTCTCTCTTGCTTTCCTCTGTTGCTTCATTGTTTCCCCCCATTACAATCAGAACCCAGAGGGAAGCTCTGTAAGATTATGAAACAAACACAGGTAAATGAAAGAGAGGGGCTCGAAAGGGGTCAGGGGATAAGGCGGGGTAGTGGGTGGTTATCGGCTTGATGCCCTTGCTCTGTGAGCCGGTGCAGACTTGCTGGGCCGAATGGCCTCCCTTCCTTGCTATAGATTTCTACGTCATCGTACAGTCTGTGCACAAAAGGTTTGCTGAGTAGATCTCTATGACACGTGAGTATAACGGTGTCTCCCCTCCTCTACACCCCTCCCTCCCTCCCTCCCTCCCTCCCACCCACCACCACCCCACCTCAGGCGACAGACACCACTGACTGGGTTGTAACATGGTAGATTTTCCATTTTAGCAACGTCCAACACAAGTGTGCGTGTCGAGGCTGAATTTACGCAGCATGCACTGCTCACGGGAAATTTGCCGGATGGATTGGAGGTGACGTGGGTAAAGGTTAGAAGAAAAGTGCAATGAGTGCGTTGTAACCGTCTGCCTGGAACATTCTTCAAATCCCACAAATCGTGTTCTTCGTGGGAACACATTTCTGAAGAGCTCTCGACATGCCATGCAGTGCAGCAAACTACCCGCTTAAAGCAAACGTCCGGCCGAAATCTGACAAGAGATCCTTCAAAGGAAGGAAAAATCTGGGTGGAGAGGTTTAGGGAACAGCAGAAGAGTTGAGTGATCTCTGGAACCGTCTTCTCCAACAGTTTGGGTGTGTGTGCGGGGTGGGGGGGGGGGGGGGTTGGGGGTAGAAAGAGAAACATTTTCAGCGCAGTTAGTATTGACGTGCATTCCGAATCGCTCCGCTGCATTGAAATAAAGGTGGCGTTAATACTTCGTTGGCTGTGTTGAATTGGGAGAAAAAGTGCATCATCAATAAATAGGCTGCATTAAAGTAAAGGCGGACATTAATATTCGGCCTGCGTTAAAATAAAGCGGGGTTAATGTCCTGCTGTGATGAAACAAACGTGCGTTAATACTTTGCTGCAGTCAGATAAAGAGTGACATTCCCCTCCGGAACAAGAGATCAAACTCACACGTCACACAGAATTCTCTTGGCCACAATGCCCCCGAAATTGCTTGGCACGCACGAAGGTAAGCAGCGGCAATTGGCAGTTATACAGCAACTTTCACGCGGGGTCGCGTCTGGGCTCGCTAAGCAATTGGACAACAGCGATTGTCCTCCATTCATCCGTCTTCCAAGTTAATCTCATGGACATGTTTCGCGTGCTTGTGGTTCAAGTAAGCCGTCAATTGTCAGTGAGAATTGTTGCCTTTTCTCTCTCCTGTGTAAGAGGCTTTCAACAAGAATTGTGTGCAGACCTGCCTGGAATGCTGTTGCCAAAGGGTCAACGATGAACGTTTATGTGGCCCNAACGACAGATAATAGCGATAATAATAATGATAATAATAATCCTTGCATTTGATACAGCGCCTTATCACGTCTCCTAGACGTCTCAAAGCGCTTCACGGAATATGCTGTAAAGTGAGTTGACCGTATATTTGTGGGCGAGATCTTTGAATTGGAGAGATGTGTCCGTGGTTGGTACAGAAGGCTTACTCTCTGACCTGAATGAGTGCTGCGTACGTAGACGCAGACACAGCAAAACTCAGGCCTTTGCATCTATTTGCGCTCTGAGTGCGCTCAGTTATCAAATCTGAGGGACTCTCTCTCAGTTGAAAGGGAGCTAAAGATCAACATTACTTCTCCCAAAATAAAATCAACAGCGACTGATTGTTGGGAGACCCATGAAGCGCTTTGAGACGGCCTCCTGTGGTCTCAAAACGTTTCACAGGAATTTGACGGTAAAGTGTAGTGACTCTCTATTTTGTAACTGAATGCAACGTCCACCTGAACAGGCAGATTGAAACTGGGGTTTAAAATCAGCCGAAACTGAGAGCTCAAAGTCCCCACATGGGGCTTCTGATTAAGAGGCGAGAGTGCTACCAGCTGAACACCTATTCTCACTTAATAAGCACCGAACCGTGATTATAACTGGAACGTGAGACTCAGGACATATCCGAGGGCTAACTATTGACTTATCGCGCAGGTTAATACAGAGCGGTCGGTCTCCGTGGAAATAAAAAACAGATTAAACAGGACGGAACTGAAACTATCCCCCCGCGAAACAGTATGAAATGAATTTGTATTCGGAACGCAATTAAGTTGCTTCACAATCCGTACACGAAATATTTAGCGAACAGCAGTGCAGGAGAAGGGGGGGCGGAAAAAGACAAGTGTCCTGGCTTGGAGAGAACAAAGAGTCGCATGCAAAGAACTCAGGCAACTCACTCAGGAGCACAGAGATACTCACGAGCTGATTCAAGTGACGGAAAAGGGGTGGGTGGACGTGTTGCTGAAAGGCCAATGAGAAAATCAATTAACGGTGTGATTCCCGAAATCTAATCGGCGCACAAGATGGCAGCGGTGATGTGACACAGGCAAGACACGGGCCATTTGCAATGCACTGAAGCATGCATTAGTGCTGTTAAAAAAAACAAAATGCACGCGATCTGTCGAAGAAGACCGCGCGATTGATGTGTGTGAGGCAAATCATAGAATGTTATAGATGATTCACCCCTTATCTCGTCCGAACAGGGTTTCTTTTACGCTACAACCCACCTCGTCTAATCCCACTCTCTCTCTCCATCTACCCTGTAAATGTTGCTTCTTTTTCTCTGCAGAAATGGGACCAATACCGCCTTACGCACGCTCGGAAAGGTTCTGCGTGAAATGAAATGTGCCGAGAGAAGTAAATCAAGACACGAAGCGAAAATAGAACAATCGAATTCTGTCTTCGCTGGAACTGAAAGGATGAATGCAATCCTTGGTGTGCTGCATGGAAACTTTGGGTTACAAACCAAGAATTGGTGCAGGAACAAGCGAATGTCCCCCCCCGCCCAAAAAAAAAATCAATCAAAATCTTCCCCGTGGGATATCGCTCTATTCACGTCAGGAGGACGTCTCAAAGTGCTTCACAGGATTTACCTTAAAGTGTGGTGACTGTGTATTTTGTAGGTGATGTGGCTGCAAATTTTACACAGACCAACATCCCACAAACAGCCATTAAATAAATGATCAATTTTATTTGGGAGATTGTCGACCGGGACACTGGGAGAAACACCCTTGTCTTTTCGAATAGCACTGCAGGATCTAAGTTCTTCTAACAGAATTCATGGATTCAACAAACAGAATTCAGCAAACAAAACAGCAATGTTCATGCCAAGGACAGTGCAGGACAGTAAATTTCATGAGAGGGAACATTTCTTACAGCAAGTGATCCATGCAATGGCTTTGTCAGCCAAGAAATATTTTGATTGGTATCTCAAGTTTTGTGGAACATTCTTCATTGAAGCGGAACAAAGAAGGTTTGGTTGCAGCGGGAAATATGACCTTAAACCAGTTGGAAAATCAACCCCTGAATGAATACTTCAGTTACAGGATTAACCGTAATTTAGGTAAAAAAAAACAGTGAAGAAGCCAGACGCAGGAAGGAAGCGCCCAAACTAGCATTATGCAAACTCCGTGAATTCGCTTGCCCATTCCGTTCAAAATTAACTCAAAATGATTATTGTTCACGGAGCCTCAATCGCAGCCCGAGTGCTGGGTCATTTGCGATTGAACACGTTTCCATTCCCCCCCCCCCCCCCCCAAGTACGTATATTTTAGTTTGAATTCCTGCGGAGTCCTGTAGCGTGTTGGTTGGTGCACTCGACTCGCAAGCGAGGAGACCTGGGTTCGATTCCTGGGCATGGGAAATGTTAGGCAAGTTTCCTTGCTCCAACCCCCTTCTGTTTACTTAGAAGTAAGTCAAAACCCGGTCGTTAGTCGATTGGTGGATAGCTTTTCCGGGGGTAATAAAATCTTCTTTTATAATAATCCTTTCAAATAAAATGATAATTAAATAATAAAAAAATAATTTGGTCATTCAATCCACGACTATGTGCTTTGCAGATGAAAATGCAACAGCCAATTTGCACACAGCAATGTCCCACTAACTGGCGTCCAGTGACTGGTCAGCGTTATCTGGAGGATTGCGAGCTTGGACACCAGGAGAGATGCCCTTCTCTTTTCAGTTAGTGCCAGGGACTCTTTAACATCCACTTGAAGGTGGTTTCACGTCTTATCTGAAGGACAGCAAACGCCAACGAGGCAGCGATGTGGGGCTGGAATCCACAATCTTCTTACTCAGAGAGCGCTGCCAACTGAGCCAGGCTGACACCTTAAAGGAAAATTCTCCAGTGCACTTTTTTGTAAGCTTTGAGCTTGCTTTTTTTAACCGCAGCTATTTCATCTTTAATTATAGCCGAATGAAAGTCCATAATACACATTTGCACTACAAAGTTTCTGCGTGCGTAAAATTACCAATATATTTTCCGGCACTTCAAACAAAATATTTTTACAGTGTCGTTACTGAAGCTCAAGACTATAAAGGCCATTTTATAAATTTCAGAACAAACGACGGATTAAAAGCTTCAGCCGCTTTCGGTTGTTTTCGGCTGCTGACCAATTCGCTTGCGTCAATTCGCAAAACTCAATTAAATTTAATCTGCGTTGTTGAAATCTTTGTTGAAATTTCTTTCCAGTTAAAATGGCACACAGGTCGAGTCCCACTTTGATTGCGTCAAGATAACTATATTACCTTGTTTTATTGCCTTCTGCGGTGGACAGTGTCGAAATATTACGTAAAACTGATATATCCCAATAATTTCCCCAAATAGTTTTTTCACAAGATCGGTCTGGACGAAGAAAGCCATTCAGCCTACTCCACCATCACAGTGTCAAACAAGTTAAAAAAAAATAAGTCCAGTGTTTAATTGTCCTGGCAATCTGTTCCAGACATTAATTACCCTCAGGATAAAGACATTCCTTTTGGTGTCTCTCCAGAAATTGGCTTTTGCAACTTTAAACTTGTCCTCTCTTGTTCTGTTGTGGTGCATCCTAAAGTATTGTTCTACTGTACTTTTTCAATCCCATTTAAGATGTACTCCACCTCTGTATTTGTTAAAAATCTATATTTAGTACGAAGCAATGATGTTTAATTGAAAGCGTGAAACAGAGTATAACTGTGTTTAAATATGGCACAGCGGGTTGCCAGAGCAAAACTTACCCAGAGTTGGGGAAGAATAGGAATCGCTAGAGCTTACAGATGGTTGAACGTCAGATTTTGGGCTAGAAGGTGGCATTTCAGTAGACATGGTAGAGATTGGCTCATCCGATACAGGAACAGACACGAAGACACGGACTGAAGCAGTAATAACAAATAATAATCTTTGCATTTAGTATCATACCTTATGCCGTCAAGACGCTTCACAAGATTTTACTGAGACTATGTATTTTGAAGAACGCAGTAGCTAATTTGCGCGCAGCAATGTCTAACACACAACCGTGAAGTGAATGACCCATTTTATTTAGGGGATTTTCGTTGGCCAGAACATCAGGGGAAACTTCCTTCTCTTTTCCATCAGTGCCATGGGATTTTTAACATCCACCTGAACAGGCACAGACAAGATCTCGGTTTAACGTCTCATCTGAAGGACGGCTCCTCTGATAATCCAGTGCTCCCCCAACGCTGCACTGGAGTGTCAGCCTTGACTGTGAGCTCAAAGTCCTGACATGAGGCTCGAACACACAATCTTCTGACTTGAAGGTGAGAGAGAGCTATCAACTGAGGCTGACGCTTAACCAAAGTAAACCCGTTAGAAACTTTAACATGAGGTTTATTCCGAGAACCCAATAAGTCACAACAACAACAACTCTGATAGTAAATAAATCTATGATTGCGGCATCCTCTATCCATAATTTTAAGGGAATGATTATGATGATGATAAGCTGAAAGGAAGCAGGGGATAGCAACTGCAGTGGCAAACTCTGGTTAAAAAACAATTTCAATGAGGAAAATGAAGTTTACAACCGCGACTGAATAAACTGTGCAAGAAATTGCTGAGAAAAGAATTAAGACTGGCGAATGTTTAACTCATCGTTGTTAAACTTGTGAACGTTTAACTTTATTCGGTCAGGGTATCGAGGGACACGGGACAAGGGTGGGAAATCGGAGTTGAGGTACAGATCAGCCATGATCTTATAGGATGGCGGAACAGGCATGAGGCCATGCCGTAGGATCGTTAACATGTACCTGAGCAGGCAGACAAGACCCCAACCTATCAACTTAACCAAAGGACGACACCCCCGACAATGCAGCGCACCTCCAGCACTGCACTGGAGGGTCAGCAATGACTACTCTGTCTTAAGCTTTAAGACAACATAGTTGTGCAAGTTGCCTTATGTCTGCGTGGAACTTTAGTTTGGGACTAGTACCTTCTATATTGCGTATCTGGGCTGCCAAACATTGCCGAAATCCACTTCTGGTCCCAAACCATCCACTACACGAGTAGTTTTGGATCAGAACATAAGCCCAGAGAACCAGCAAGTATAGAGCTCCAGTGCAGAGTTCTCATTAGCACAGAGTTTCACAAAATCGGTCATGAATGCAACGTTTCTACATCACAATTAACTCCAGTCACTCCTGACACAGTCAGCCATCAAGAACGGCACTAGAAAATGAGAATCAATTATTCAGCCGTAAGACTACAAGTGGAAGAAATATTACACCAAGAAGGGATTCAGACAGCCATTAAATATGAAACATTATATGAAGCAGAGACGATTAAATGGAGTAACAGCAGACATCTGCTTCACGGTTCCATCTGCTTTTGAACCATTCAGTAGCTATAACAACTGCTGAATGGTTCAAAAGCCGATTCGATAACAACTTTTAAGAGAGAAGTGGATCATTATTTGGGGAGCACAAATTTGCAGGGCTATGGGGAGAGCGCGGGGGAGTGGGATTGATTTGGATGCTCTTTTTAAAGAGCCGCCACAGACACGATGGGCCGAATGGTCTCCTTCTGTGCTTTATAGTTCTATGATTCACGAAACACATGTGCGCTGCACTATGTTATGGAGCAATTCGATGGTGGTTTTTTTTCTCTCTCTCTGGCAACAGTTCAATGGTATTTTTTATTTTATTCACACAGTATTGGATGTAGACACAACATATCCACTAGACCCATAAAAGCTCGATTAATAGATACTTCTCTCGGTCGCTGTGTGCTGGCTGTTTTCCTCTATGTAAAGAAGCCCACGCCTTCACAGTGAACGGGGTCCAACACCACATTCGGTCATAACCCAATCCGCGCTACAAAGGAGCACTGCTGCACTGTAATCTGGTGGATCTATGGGCTAAGACGCCAGGACAAACTCCTTTCTCTTTTAAAATCGCGCCGTGGGATCTTTAACGTCCATTTGATTCCGTACCAGCCAAAAAAAAAAAGAAACCTCAGTTGAACGTCTCATTCGGAAGACGGCACTCTCAACGATGCAATAGCTCCCCACTGGATTGTGGGTCTGTCCTGCGAGCTCAAAGCCTCGTCGTGGGGCTTGAACCCACAACCTTTGTGACTCCAGAGGCAAGAGGTCTCTACATGTAAAGTGAGCCGGGCTCTCCTGTTTACGGAAGAGTTAATCGTGAAGCCTGAAATCTCCCAATAACGTTATGAAGCTCACATTGCTGAACAGGGAAATTCCATCACCCATTCCCAAACATTTTTTCCTCCCAGAAAGATAAACATGATGTCGAACGTGCTCCGGGCTCCCTGACATTTTGCAGTGCTCTGCCCTTCGTACTGTTACTGAAACTCGGTTTCGAAAGCAAATAATTCAGCAGCAATATGATGATGCTTCAGCACTAAAGGGATTGCTAACCGAGCCAAACGACTACAACAACAACTTGCATTTATTTACGTAGCGCCTCTTCCGGCCGGATGGGGTCTCAGGGAGCTTAAGACTGACATCGAAGGAATGCACTGACGATTAGACAGAACGGACCATTTAATTAAGGCTCTCTTCTCATTTCGCCGCTCATTGGCCATTGAGACGTCTGCAGCTTTCCAGAAGCGTGATGAAAATAATAAGCATGGCAGCAGGGCAAACATACCAATTAAATAAAGACTGAAACTTATTTCACCACTCGCACGAGACTTTTAAAAACTTACTGGCCCCCAAACACCCCACTATTTTTATTCAACTGCATTTCCTAAACACAGATGATTAGAAATAGCTGAAAATGATGCATTTCATCATCATTCTGGCACTTACTGTGGTAAATAAGGATGGCGACTGAGAATGGAAGAGATTATCACACATAAGTCAAACTGTACTGCCTGATATGATCCTGCTCTAATGAAGAAGTAAATTAAGCTTCAGTAAAAGCTAACACGTCTTCACAACTCGCCTAGTGAACTCAATTACATTCACAGAGCTGGGGTGAAATGGATATTGAAGCTCATAACTGTTTAACTGAGTTGACAGCATATAATATATATATATATATTAAACTTGTGCAATCTCACTGATATTTTGCATCGGCAAATACATATTTTAATGGATTATGGTGGAGCATCAAATCTTTAAGCACTTAATAAGCACAATGCAATGTGTGAGCTGGCTTTGATGCTAATTTTATTTATACAGGAACCTGACCAGAGTGCTAATTTATTGCACAGACTATCTTTCAGCTGGTAGGCTGAATAAATGGGGCCACAGATTACAATGCACACGGACTAACTGACAGGGTCCAGGTGTGAGATTGAAGAAAAAAAATCTTTTATACCTAGGAATAACTTTATACCTTTTAACCAGCTATTAGATGAACAGAAGCAAGTCCTGGGAAACGCAGCCTTGGCACAAGCCATCTGCTTCCTTATCTGGAAATTTCACAAAAGCAGGGAAACAGTAACTTCTGCAAACCTTGAAATAAATGAGACATTGTCTTTCACAAACACCATCTGGAGATAAATAAGCCTATGTCTCAAACGTCCCTGAATCATCCCCTAACCTCGGTCCCCTTCCTTTATTATTACTTACTCTGTGTTATAAATTTGAAGGTTTCATTCTTGTTAGATAGCTTTAGAATATATCTTGTGTATCTTAGACAATGGTATTAATCAGGTACATACTCTATGACAATTGTATTTTCTTAACTCTTAAAGAATAATAATCAGCATGAATAGAGACTAATCAGTGGACGACATTTAACTTAAGAGATATGGATTGATTGACGTCACCATTCGAATAGTTGTTGGAGCCACATAATTGATAATACTATTTTAACTGCCTTTGTATGTGTTGCAAACTTCAGCCCTTTTTGGGTAATAAAAAGGCTGCTTTAACTGACCATCGGCAGCTCATTCTTTTGACTGTCCGGTGCTCTTCTTAGAGACTGTTGACTGCTCTTGAATCAGCTCTTGCAATTGCAATTAAATCTTACTTTGGCTATATCTGCGGTGTATGGTCTGTTTGTAAGACGACGGTTGGGACGAACGAAAAAGGGATGCGGATTGGAAGCTTGGGATGGATTTTTCTCAAAGCAGATTTTTCTCAAATGTTGCCACCTCATGGCCTATCTGAGAACTGGCATCAAACGTCATTATGTTTTCCGGCAAATTCCGTAAATTTCCCAGGCGGGAACAGAAATCTTTCAAGACAAAGATTTACGGTTAAAAGAAAATGTGAAAGCGTATTTCTGGGTCTACCGAGGTCAGCAGTTGCTCCTGGTATCGATTGTTATTTAAAGCAATAATAAAAATAATAATGTTCCTTGCGTTGCATATGACATCTTTCAAGTCAGGAAAATGTCTCAATACCTTTCACAGGATTGACTATGGGTTTCTTGATGAACACAGTAGCCAATTTACAGATAGTAACGTCCCACGAACAGCCATGAATTGAATGACCAATTTATTTGGGGGATTACTGACCAGGACACTGTGAGAAACTCACTTCTCTTTACAAATCATGTCATTGAATCTTTAAGATCCACCTGAATAGGCACAGGTGGGATCTCAGTTTAACATCTCAACCTAAGGACAGCACCTCTGACAATGCTTCATTGGAGCGTGAGCATTCATTATACATTACATGAATTCAACGTCCCGACCTGGGGCTTGAACCCACGATCTTCTGACTCAGAAGATCGAGAGTGCTACCAAGTGAGGCAGAATGCAGGAATGCGGAGAGCGGAAAGGAACGAAGGGAGTTAAGAGTTATACTTTGTGAACTGAAGTTTGAGTCGTTGGCTAAAACCGAGGAAATGAAGCACAACAGAGAAAAATGAGCACTTGTTCCTTTCTGGGTACCAAAATACAGCCCTGTCGATCTCAAAGTGGATCAAGCATTGAACTGATGGGCCCTCATGCATAAGCGTCAATCAACCAAGTTTTCCACCATATTTCCTTCATTCTGTTAGGAATTCAATACTTATGTGTTTTTTGTTTCTTAAACAAAAACGTGACCGGTGGAGTATCTGACACGTGAACAAATTGAGAGACAAATGATGGTACCTGAGCTAGCTGGAGAGGCCGAGATCATTTAATTCATGAGAAGCTTGTGTGGGTGGAAGGCTCGGAAAAGCCTGTGCGCTATCAATCTTTCCCCTGTCCGACGTGAAATGTTCAATGAAATGTTCAAATTAATTCCAACCTCCTCCCCCTGTAAGAGTTATCGTTGCTCCAAAATAAATACTGGACAGGAGAAGCCAAACACGTGAACCTATTGAAACCCGTGTGTTTGATGCTCAATATTAACCTGGCAATGGATTCCCAAAACTTAGCTCACTCCCGTTCCCAAATGCCACGCATTGCTGTCGAATGACAGAGGCGCCTCGATTAATGAGAGCGTCTCGTGCTCACTTTGCCCACACGCTCCATTGTGCTAAAGCCGTTGATTTTTTTAATGTCCCGTAAAGGTCACTCACTGCAGAAATCGCTTAACATTATTGACTGGCTACGCTGCTGCTCTTTTGCACAGCTTTGAAGCACCGATGGAGCTTTCAGATTTTGGGGCGGCAAGCGATGCAGGACTCAATAATTGTCAAGTTCCACACCTCGACTGGATTATGAGCGAAACATCATTATGACGGAGTTCTACTGAGGGCATTTCACGCTGAACTCACCACACAGCAACCATCTGACTGACCGCACCAAGATTTCCCACGATAAAACCCTTGCGAATAGATTGCTATTGTGAACCACGAGCTTCCAATAACTCTTATCGTGTTCCACACTGATTTGGATCTCAAAGCGTTCACGTATCACTGTGTCAACACTTATCCTGGAACATAGAAGAGCTCAGTTAGCACGTGCACAAAATAAAGATGGAAAGCAATTTGATTGCTTCTGCAGTGCTCAGGCACAATCTCGGTCCTTGGCTCTTAACGAAAAAAAAGATTGAGGTCAGAAAATCAAACGCCACGAATGCTCGGTCACATTCCAAGGCGACTTGCTGCAAGGCGAATGGAGGAGGCCTTATACAGGTAAAGCTCCTAAAAGCAGCAACCAACTGTGCAGGAATCTAAATCAATAGAGTCAATTAGATACAAGAATTCCTGAGGCTCCAGTACAGGATGTCTGGCAAACGCGCACGCAACAACTGGCGTTTATATGGAAGTGAGGAGGTGGAGGTGACATAGGCATGTTTAAAGAGGTAGGTTTTTAGGTAGGATTTAAAGACAGATGGGGGGGGGGGCGTGGGGAGCGAGGCGGAGGGTTTAGAGGCAGGTAATTCCAAAGAACAAGGGCATAGTTATCGAAAGCTGAATGCTCGGCAAGAACATCGCTAGAAAAATACTTCTGATATTTGGAATAATATTTTTTTTCTCGCAAACGGCCAGTTTAGCATCTAGAAAACCTAACGCCATCTGCATCGGTCTCGTGGCCTCTTCTGATGGGCTGTTATATGAAAAATTGCACACATGATTTGAATTAAACATTGCGTTCGCTTGTGAGAGCGACTGGGCGAGAGTTTATTGGTGAAAATGTTGAATGCGAAAATATAAAGCACCGAATAGGACGTTCCTTAGGGGGGTGGGGGGGTAAAGAACACGGAGTAAAGCACGATTTGTGATGAGATGGTTAGCAGGGATTCATGAATAACTCTTATGAATAATCCTTACGAATCGTCAGAACAATGTAACAAGATTGATCGAATGAGGACAAGACATCCTTGAAACGTTTCTTCTTAAAACTCAATTTGGTCTCTTTATCTGACCCTCCACCCCTCAAACTTCAAAGGCACAGGCTTTTCTGCCAAAGCTTCGCGTGCACCTCTTGAAGGTGTGCGATAGCAAACCTTAAGCGGTGACATGTCCCAGTTATTTTCCTTCCCTTATGGGGTTGTGGCCTGCCTTTTGCCCAGTACATTACCCTGCTAACCTGGACTAGATAGGAAACTCACTGTGTGCACTAACAGCTCTGGCTGTGAATGTAGCCCTGGCATTCTCAAGATGGGTTTGGTTGAAGAAGGCTCCTTCAGCCCATTTTATCTCATCCCTCCTGAGTTTCGATCCTAACGACCTCCCATCACAGCCTCCAGCTATTTTTTTAATAAAACGAGTCCAGGGTCCTGATCTCAGCCACGCTTCCTACCAACCTGTTCCAGTTATTAGTTACCTTGTGGGAAAAGAAACTCTTCCTGGTGTCTGTCTTGTTCTACTGTCTTGGTACAAACCAAAGTATGGTCCTGGGTTTACTTTTCCAATCTTATTTAAAATGTGGCACCTCTATACACCTGTGTAGGCTCCCCAGTACCACAGTGCAGTCACCTACCACAATGACATGGCTCGACACACTCTGAGAACATACTAAAACACTGACTCACAGGTAGAATTTTAACAGACACACTTTTTCGGGAGGAATGTAATTGGCTCACCAGTGATGGCTGGATTCCATTGCAATGGACACAGATGAGAAGGATACAGAAGAATGGAAAGAAAAAAGAAAGAGCGTAAAGAAAGGTGAAACACAAATAGAGGAGACCAACAGGGTGAAGTTTTAAAGGCAGAACTTAAGAAAGAATGTCCATCCCCCCCAAGAAATCTCACCAGCAGTCACAGCGAGAGGCATGTATTTAACAATCAGTTCGTAATAATAGTTTTAGTTCACTTGAGCTCTGTTTAAACCTTAAACCTGCGTCCGTATATTGTCCTGGGGCAATATTGTCGCTGTGGTTCGTGATTCGAGACGAACAATAGGTAATAAAAGTGGAATAAAACAGCACTTATTCGGTAACCAAGTGGAATAGAAGATTGAAAAGTTAGAATTATCAGAACCAATGTTAAAACATCGCCGTGTGTGGGTCTATGTAAAAATATGTGAGTGTCTGCAGTTTCTAACAGCAATAGATGAAAATGTTTGGGTGTGAGAGCAGGTTGGCAGTAACTCCTGTGAAGATGAGTCTCCAGTTTGATCAATAAATGGCCTGAACATCTAACAAACTTTAACAGTCCAATCAGCTCCACTGAGCACCAATAGTGAAGCTACTCACTGTCATTATTACTGACATTAAAGATATAATCCATTCTGTAGCAGCTTCCCAATAAACCCTCATTGCACAAATCTTTAAGATTAGCTTCTTTCTGTGTGAAAACTCTCAAGATCTGCATAATAAATGGATCACTGCACCAAAGGTAATTTATTACCGGGTTGATTTCACTTGTGAGAAAGATTTTTATCCGTGATGATAATAATAATAATAATAATAATAATAATAATAATAATAATAATAATAATAATTCTTGCGTTTGATGTGCAATGTCTTTCATATCGGGGGGGACGCCTCAAAAGAGTTTTGCAGGAATTTTTTGAGGGTCAGTCGGGTGTCTGAAACATGCGGAAACCCATCACTGTGCTTAACAGTATCCAAACCAAACTAAGAATTCCATGGATCCCAACTATACATGGCTATTTGTTGGAATGGGATGCCACCCTCTCTCCCTGGAGAGAGGTATCATGCTTAGCTAATTCCGGAGACTATTAGGAGTATGTTGGCAAAAGGCAAGGTTTTGGAGCCCCAGACTGAAGGTTGGGGGGGTAACTGCTGGAGTCTAACCAGCTAACGTTGTATAGCTTGCCATCAAGAGCACTGCCTGGCAAGCTTAACCACTACTTGTCCATTGAGGGCTTTGCTGTCCTCGAAGAAAGACAAACAGGACCAGAGTGCCTTCACCCCTTCTCTGAGCCATCCTTCAGGACTGAGCCACCACAACCCCCAGAACCGATAAGAATCAACAATTGGGAGTAATGCCCCAGGATTTTACTGGGTATTTTACAGGCGACCATTAACAGAGCAATATCAGTCTTCTGAACTCACAGAATATGCCCAGCGATACATCACTCACAGTGCACTGCTTGTCTTTAGAATGCAGAGCCAAATCTAAACGAATAGAAAATTCTTCGAGTTTACACGTAAAATTATTTGGGGGATTAATAGACACCTGCCAGTCAACTGACTTCCAGACACTCAAATGATTCAAGTGCCGGTATCAAAAGCACCAGAGACGATGTCTGGCCCTCAGGTTGTTTTTTTTTGCGTCGCACGCAATCATTGCTAAGAAATGATTTCTTTTCTCAAATGGATTAAAGCGAAAACTTTCAATTAAAATGGGAGTTTAAGCTTTTGTTTTAAGATTTTTATATAAAAAAAACACTCGGGGAAAGGCTACAGAATGCATTCGATTTAACAGTCGCTTTGTAATAAAGTGATAAGAATAATCCTCATATGAGATTAACAATTTCTGTTCTCGCTCTCATTATTTGGTTCTCTCAGAGAGCATGAAATTAATAATAATAATAATAATCTCTGTATTTGATATTTCACATCGTTGGGATATCTCAAAGTGCTTCACAAGGTTTACTGTTAAGTGTAATGACTGTGTATTTGTTGGTGAAAGCAACAGCCAATTTGCACCGTGGCAATGTCCCATAAACAGCCGTGAAGTGGTGACTGATTTTATCTGAAGGGAGAAATTTCCTTCTCTTTTCGAACAGGACCTTTAACCTCCACCTGAACAGGCACTGGCAGATGGGACCGAGGTTAATGTCTCATCTAAAGGACAGTACCTCCGACAATGTCCCAACAATGTCAGTGTTATGAGCTCAATGTCCCAAATTGGACTTGAACCAACGACCTTACGACTCAGAGATGAGAGTGCTGCCGACTGAGCACTCAGTCTGTCATTTGACATCAGGAAGAAAAGATGTTCTTCTGCTTTCAGGAAGCTGGACAGGCACACACACACGCACACTCACACGCACACACACACATACACACGCACGAGTGTCCTAAAGGGTCAACGACACTCACATGGGAATCGGGACCTGTGATTCTCTTCAGCAAAGAGGCCACAATCATTCAAAAGTTTCCTGAGAAGCTATTATTCCAATCTCTTGCTCTCAAATCACTTCACCACTAAAGGCTTAAATGATTCAGCCAAGGGGGGGGAGGGGGGGGATGACAAGACTGATTTTCCTCGTAATATTTCAAGGATTAAACAGTTGCAAATTCTAAATGTAGTGATTTATATACACAGTGGCAAGATTCGGAGTTGGTTTTGCAATGTCAATCTAATGGATCAACTTTACCACGATATGTGCGCGTGTCAGAGAGAGAAAGAGAGCGTGTGTTTGTGTGTGCGTCTGCATGTGAATTCATGAACTGATTCACTCATAGAAACATCAAAAACTGTTACGCTTTTATCTTGTGTAATATTTGACATGTGCAATAGCCCCTGAAACATCTTATACAATACAAACAATACAATTGAGAATTAATCCAAAGGTTAATTTCATTCCTTATTAAATCACAAGAACATTGCAACAAGAGGTCTAAGCAGTAAGAAAGAGGGAGCTATCTAGTACTTACGGACTGGCTGAGTCTTGAACTCAGTGATTGGGCTGGAATCACCGATTCCTTTCCCGTTGATGGCAGACAGGCGAAGTTTGTACATGGTTTCCGGGGACAGGCCGCTGATGGTGATTACATAGTCGGAACCTCGGACTGTCAAACATTGAGACGTTTGTTACACAATTGTGCATCGTACGTGAGTAGCATTATTTGTTTATGTATTATTTAATAATAATAATCCTTGCATTTGCTATAGCGTCTTATCAGGTCTTCGAGACGTCTCAAAAGCGCTTCACAGAATATACTGTAAAGTGTAGTGATTGCGTGCTTTGTGGGCGAAACACGGCAGCCAATTGTGCACAGCAGTGTCCCACAAACAGCCATGGAATGAGTGTCCATATTATTATTATTTTTGAAGGGATTATTGCCCCAGATAAAAGGCATTCGCTAATCGACTAACAAGCGGGTACCTACTTACTGCGAGGTAAACAGAGGCGTGTGTGTGTGTGTGTGTGTGTGTGTGTGAACTAGAAACGACGTTGTTAGTGCTGTGGTCTCAAAACAACTCTATAAACACACAAAGGAATCAGATCCAGGGACAATGGTTGGGTTAAAACGTCACTTTGCTGTTTATCCGAGCAAACACCATTGCCTTTGGCAGGAGAGTGCCCAGCTCGGTGTAATCTAAATGGAGAAAAACAACTTGCCCCTTAAATCAATTGTCTCGTTATTTCCAACTCAAAAGATCTTTTCAAAATCAGCGTTGGGAAAAATGTTTGGATGACCTCTTCAGGCATCGAGTTTAAACTTTCTGTGGATCAGAACTGCCTCGTACAGCTCAGCAAACAGGCAGAAGCCGCAGTTTTGGGGCATAGGTTTGGAGCTACCGTGGGCAACTTCAGGACAAACACCAAGGTGCTTCTCTTACATGGATGGTAATTCACCGCTGGGACAGTTTCCAGGAAGGGTGATTGAGGGCAGGACATTAAGCTTATTTAAAAAGCGGGTTTAATGCTGCGAGGGCAGCAGGGATGGATGATCTAGAACGATGAGATCAGATGGGCCGAAGGACATGCGTATTGGATTATTCGGATCTGGAATGCGTTGCCCGAAAGAGTGGTGGAAGCCGACTCGATAACAAATTTGGGGAGGACAAGTTTGCGCGGCTATGGGAGAGAGAGAGGGAGAGAGAGCGGGGGAGTAGGATTAATTTGGACAGCTCTTTCAAAGAGCCAGCACAGACACGATGGGCCGAATGGCCTATGGCCACGAGGGGCAAAGGAGTAACGAGGTTGAACTCACCATCCTTTGCACTGAAGTGCTTGGTATTCCAGTCAGTTGTGTTCTTCACTTTCCATTCCGCCAGGTATTTGAGAACCGGGACTCCGCCCGTGGATTCAGGTTCATCAAACTCGATCTGTGCCGAGCTGGAAAAGGGGTTGGTGTCCAGGATAGTCGGAGCAGAGGGGGTCTCTGGAATGGAAAGGATCCGATTAGAAAACACTGACACAGTCGCGCAAACCGCCCAGGCTGAGCCATCACAAAACACACAAGTCAATTCACTTTACTGTGTATCCCGTTAAGCGCTTTGAGACGTCTCAAAGACGTGATAAGGCGCTGTATCAAATGCAAGGATTATTATCATTAGTATTACACTTTCTGACACTTCCACTTCCACACACTGCCTGCCCTTCCAACTTGGCGTCACCTCCACTTTCTGTGCAAAACTTATCTCACTTCTTTCCACTGAACTAATGTCAAGCCCGTTGTCTTCAAACAGCCTGTACCAGTCTCGGCCAGTAACTGATTTCTGGGCAGCTGCAGGATTTACTAGCAGTAAAGTGGAGACACTACTAACGTAAACGAAGCCTTTCAGACGCTGGCTCGAACCGGCATCGGGAAAAAATAATCCTTGGTATTTGATACAGCGCCTTTCATGTCGGGAAGGCGTCTCAAAAACGCTTCTCAGGATTCACTGCAAAGTGTAGCAACTGTGGGTTTTGTAGGCAAATGCGGCAAACGCTTTGCGCACAGGAATGCCCCACAAACAGATAGGGGTGAATGACTTGATTTTTGCCAGAGGTATCCAAAATCAGGATGCTCCTCAGACCCTGAGGAAGTTCCATTTCCCACAGAAACAGGACATTTACAGCTCGGGGGGAGGCCATTCGGCCCATCTTGCCTTTGACACAGCCATAACAGACACCCACCCAAAACTCCCTAAAATTCCCAAGCTTCTTAGGTTCGGGTAAAGAACCGAGACAAGTGGAAACGAGAACTTTTTTTTTACGGAGCTGGAGCGGAAGTGAACTAATTCCACCCAAGACATCAGCTGGAACATGATGTGATGCGCTGAGCGGACAAAGCAACAATCTATTTGATTGCAGCACTTCTTCCAAGAGTTGCGCCTCAGTAGTCTTGCTCCTGACAAGTCATTTTTCTCTTTGATGTGATTTATCACGCCCGGTTTCCCTACCCACTCTTTATGCCACGTGAGGAAATCTGTCCGCAGCACGTATCTCGAGACAAACGCTGCTGCCAGCGAAGCATTTAAATAATAATAAATCGTTCACTCCATCCACGACCGTCTGTGGGAGGGACCCCGCTATGCGCAATTGACTGCCGCGTTTGGACCACGAAATATACAGTCAATTCACTTCAGCGTACATCCCATGAAGCGCTTTGAGAAGTCTCGGAGACGTGACGAGGCGCGATATCAAATGCGAGGATTATTTTTATTGAACCCAACTTTTTAATCGCCTCTCAATTTAAAGGCTTACGCAGAGAGATCAAATCCGATTGATTGCGGGTGGCTTAGTGTTAAACCGTACGCTCTCAGATCGCTGGCATCTTTTGATTGAAGCAAATTCTCTGCTTGAGGAGCTGGTGCAGAGGATCGACTCCTCAGTTTCAGATTAAAAAAGAGCTGTTGCTGTGGGCTGTCATTTTGCCGGCTGCGGTTAATTTGCCAGTGGGTTAGTTAGGGTTGTCGTTTACACTGAGAGTGACCGTACCCCCCGATACGGTCTGCTGAGCGTTCTTCCCAACACTGTTACACCGCTCACACTCACACGCTTCAATACTGAAGGAGCCCCGATCGTTCAACAATAGCTTGCATTTTATATAATAATAATAATCCTTGCATTTGATACAGCGCCTGATCACCTCAAAGCGCTTCACAGGATATACTGTAAAGTGAATCGACTGTATATTTTGTGGGCGAAACACGGCAGCCAATTGTGCACAGCAGCGTCCCCACAAACAGTCGTGGGTTTGAAGTGACCACATTATTTTTTACCCCTGTAATCCGCCAATCAACAAATCGGGTTCCAATTTACTGCTAGGTTATCAGGTGTGTGTGTGTGTGTGTGTGGAGTAAGGAAACTTGCCCAACATTTCACCCTGCCTAGGAATCGAACCCAGGTCCTCTCGCTTGCGAGGCGAGTGCTCTATCCACTGAGCTACAGGACTCCACGTGGTGCTAATCTGAATCTCCGTCACCTTGCCATGCGCTAATGGAACCCTGCGACCTTTCAGCAAACAGTCCTGCTGCAATCCACAGCCTTGCTTTAGTGTTCCCTCATGCAGCACAGGGTTGTTGAGGTTGATGTTGATTTTGCTCCAAATGCACCACTACCAAAAAAATGACAGCGACACCTACCAGCTTGCACCAGGATAAACTCCTTGGACTCCGCTCCCACACGGTTAATGGCTGTGCAGTTGTAGGGACCAAAGTCATTCTCTGATTCGGGTGTCACCTGGGATGAGGAGATTCGCGTTAAGACTGAAACACTGGAAATACACTGCAGTTAGGATTCAGCTTCCACTTTGCCCATTGATCAAATCCTAGAACCGTATGTTACAGAATATAGTGCCGGGTGACTTACATTCATGCAGATCCCTTTCACTATGTCTTAAAACACTTTACATTACATTACATACGAGCCGAGATCGGTGAGTCAGTTGACAGAAGAGACAACCAGAAGCACAGTCAAAGAGCTAAATCTTGAAATAACGCATTTTCAGGTGGATTTTGTGGTTGTTGAACTTGCAAAACTAACACCTGAACAGGCAGACGGGATCTCGGTTTAACACCTCATCTAAAAGGCCGGCACCTCTGCCAGTGCAGGGCTCCCCCAGTACTGCACTGGAGTGTTCGTCTGGACTGTGGGCTCAAGAGTCCTGACGAGAACATGTGCTACCGTCAAAACATTCTGCTTAAACTTCCCGCCCCACCATTGGTAGTCGGGCATAAAGCACCTCTGTCCCCAAGCTCTGGAACTCCATCCTGCATTCCCTCCCTCTCACCCACTTTCTTGCCGCTTTCAAGTCCCACCTAAAGACCTTGGTCTTCGATCGTATGTTCGGTCACCCTCCCACCCCCACCCCCTGCCCTCCACCCCTCCTGACACCAACTCCCAGCTCGGGTCCAAAAACCCGACTGTCCAGCGCCCTGGGACGTTTTTCCGACATGAAGGGGCATTGTTGTTCGGTGCTGACCTGAAGGTAAGTGGTGGATCGTGTGTTGTAGATCCTAATGTTGCTGTAGTTGGAGCTCGGCAAATGCTGGCCATCTCTAAACCAGGAAACCTGGGCGTTGGGATGAGCGAGGACTTCACAGGTGATGTTCACAGGGTTGCCCTCCCAGGTGTAGACGGTTACTGTGCCCTGAAGCTTCGGCACATCTGAGAACGAGAGAAAAACATATTGGTAACAACAACTTGCATTTATATAGCGCCCTTCACGAAGGTCATCAGGCGGGATTTGAAAGTGGGGAGGGAGGGAGTTGGCTTAATGCCTATATGACTGAACTCCCCATCAACCGTGTCTTCCAACAGACTGGGAACAATCACACGGTCGTGTAGTGGAGGACTGTCTACTTTCCTATCCTAATCCCATTGGCACAAAGTTATTGTAACAACTGAAATAAAAGCAGAAAAGGAAGGAACTTGGACCAGATTTTACACGGGACGCTACCCCACACCGACAATATTTATTGTTGACATCCTGCAAAAGATCAGAAGCTACTGCTGCATTCATTTATTTAATTAGTTACAAATTTAGATTGCAGAATTAAATACAACTAGAAACCGCGTTGCTAAACGCTGTAATTAAGACGAACTCTGCAATTAAACCGGAGAGTTTTCCATGCGGATGTAAATTAAAATAGAGCAATTGACGGAGGAAAACAGCTGGAATTTGGATGTTCGAACAGCTGTACAGTGACTTCAGCTGTATTAGCTCCCATTTAAACAAAAGATTACTGCCAGGCTCCCCTAATGGCTCAGCGGGTTGATTCAGTTTGTAGCCGGCTCATGCAGACTGCGACGGTGACAGGTTTGAGTCCAACATTGAGTGAGATAGTCTTGGTGGTGGGTTCACAACGAGCTTCATTACCCAGTACCAGAGGGAGGAAAATAAGCCAGTGCTCCCTTCTCCTGATCGCGAGGCAAAGCCTCTACTGGAGCCCCCGTGTATCTGTCTTGCCAAAGACAGGAAGTGACATTGGGTGCCATCGAGTGAAGCGGAAGAAATTGGCTGTTTTCAGACTGTGTTTGGCCTCACCCACCGCCTCCCTCCCTCCCCGCCCTCCCACCCCCACCAACACAAACACGCACAAACACACCTTGCTCACTGGAGGGTCAGTTTAGACTGTGAGCTCAGATTCCCCACATAAAATCCAGAGCTTTCAGATGACGCCTCCAACTGGAACTGCACGTCTTAAGACTGACACAAAGCATTGAAAAACGCCCTTGATTTTACCTTTCAAGTACGAAACAAGTTTAAAAAAATTCTTACATTGCACTTCGAGGTACATAGGTTCCATGTCCTGTCCGATTGCGTTGGTGGCTGTGCAGATGTATTCACCAGCATCTGTGTGCTGAATGTCTTTGAGAGTCAGGGCAGAAACTCGGGAATGGCTCCGAACTTCGATACGTCCATCCATGGCCTGTCAGGTAACAGGAGCAGCATTAGGTTTACAGCACGAACGCACACCGAAGCCCAATTGCACATCGAATAGCAGTAACACGACTTGTTTGTGGGACACTGCTGTGAGCAATTGGCTGCCGAGTTTCGCCCACAAAATATACAGTCAATTCACTTTACAGTATAATCTGTGAAGAGCTTTGAGACGTCTCAAGTCACATTCCCAAGTCAAAGATCGACAAAGCTGCATCTCACTGATTTCAACCGACTAAAAATTGAGATTATTAGGCATTAGTTTGAACTGCTAAAGGTTGCGGTGTTTTTTTTAAAATCTATTATTACTGCTTTTCTGAAAAAAACTATCAGCTGTTATTTTGCTTTTCTGAAAAAAACACGTTTGCAATAATAAGGTTTCACTTTTTAAAAAAAAATACTTCCTTACTCCTGTTTTTATTTTCTCCAAGAAAGAAAAAAAAAGCCCACGCTTGTAAGTGAACAAAACAACACTGGGATTAAGTTCTTCAACGCTATCCAGTGAAAATATTACTGTCACGAACATGTGGCTGGGCATTAAATCAGATTGGAATTTTAATGTTAGCTTAGATTTTGATGGTAAGAAGCTTGTCGAAGGGCTTTAAGTTAAAGCACTTCAGTTACTAAGTCTTAGTGATGTCCAGACCAAAAACGTGTCGTGTACTTGGCAGCTACGGACGCCAAATTCTGGGGGTTTTAATATACGTGCATAATTGGTGTGCGCAATTTGCTGCCACGTTTCGGCCACAGTCGAATCACTTGGTAGTATGTTCTGCGAAGGGCTTTGAGACGTCTCGAAATACATGATAAGGCGCTTTATCAAATGCAAGGATTATTATTATTATTATTATTATTATTGTTGTCACCAACACATCCACAGAGACATGCACACGGCATGAACACATACACTCACTGCACACGGGCACGCAGCATGCATGCACAGTCATAACTTAACACTGAGGCCCAGGGCGGTGCTTGACACCTTGTCTTGGGAACCAATTCAGTTCGGATGCGATCAGTCACCGCAGGCTAAACCGATGCAAGCCTGAGAAGCGACTCCAGCGACGTGTTAGCTGGGTGTACGCGGAAATCAAGGCGTACACAGGAAGGGGTGTACGTTCAGGTGTGGGGTTACTATTGCATTCATTTTTAAAATCGCTAAGTCAAATTGGGGAACCTGTTTTATTAATAATCTTAAGATGAATAATTAAGAATAAGATAAATTCATCGTTGGAATACGACGTGCTTACGGAATTATTTAAACTGCTGTTTTTAGTTGGAGGACAGAGAAGCAAGCGCGGTAATATTCAATATGTACTCAATGTAAAATATAAAATATAAAAATATCCAATTATTTTTTAAAAAATAATTTAAAGTCAGCTTTTGAGAGAGGCCCATCGGTGTTCCTCCCGTGGCTGGTTGATCTCCTGTCTTCGTAACAACCGCCACAACTCTCCTACGGGAGAATAATAAGTATTTCAAACTAAAATTTTGGCACGGCCAAATCACACCCCTGCCCCTCCCCACTCTCTCTTTTTCTCTTTGCAAATCAAAACACACTAAGTCCTACTTTTCTAAATCCTAAACTTCCTTCTGTGACCTCTCTGCAATGCGGAAAGTGACATTTAAAGCCGGAAACCCAAAATTCTATGCAGTAAATAGTTCAAGTGAGCAGTTAAAGAAGGGGTTGAGTTGTCTCAAATACTTTCCAGAGGAAACCCAGGACTTTTATTAGTTTGTTGATCTCAAAGACAGGACAAGAGATCCTTTCTCTGAGTGGTGGAAACAAACTCAAACCCAAATCGTTTTCCTTTGTTCCAATCCTAACGGACTCTCTCTCTCTCTCTCACTGCGAGTGTATTTCACATTATCTGAAGGGCATTACCTTCCAATTATATTCATTCAATCAATGTTACATTCCTTAATTCAATCCTGCTCAACTCGTGACCATTCTTTCACCACTTATCGAGCCGCACATTAAAATCACATTTTTTTTTCCCCGATCAAAGTGTGAATAGTATAAACGCTGGTGACCTCGAATAATTCCCTGTAGAGCTTCTCTTATCATTACCCATGCCAGTCAAAGCCTTTTTTATCCTTCCATCATCTTCCACTCTGAACTGCCAAACCAGTTTCCACCCAGTAGATAGTTTCCTATTAACTCAATAATCCTTAGAGGTGTTCTATTGGGAACTTGCTCAGTGCATTGTATCTCATGGAATGAATTCCTTCCAGGCTTCAACACTCCTTCTTACTGAGCGAGAGCTAAACCCTGGTCACTACATGCCTTAAAAGTTCTCACAGAATGCTATTCATTGGTTTTCTCATTCGGAGCAGAGGGAGAGGGAGATGGACATTCCTGGATGCAAAATATTAATGGACCTTGACGTTCAGAACATTGTTCTTTTCTGAAGCTGACAACTTGTGGCTGGTACAGCTGTCCTGATGACCGCCTTTCAGGGTCAAAATTGCATCATTCCTAAGCGTCTTCCATTCCCTAATAATCACCAGTGATAACGGTTAAAACGAACGGGTTTAGGAACGCCACCTTTTTTATCCTACAGTTTGAAAACATTGCAGCTATATCATTGCAGGCCCCCGCTTTACCTTATTACAGATCTGCTTCCACTGAACTTGATCCTCTGCGCCTTCGACAAATAACTGGGGCTTTCCGAGTTTTATGATGTTATAATAATAATAATAATAATAATAATCCTTGTATTTGATATAGCGCTTTTCACGTCGGGAGGACGTCCCAAAGCGCTTCACAGAACACACTGTAAAGTGAATGACTGTATATTTGTGGGCGAACGCGGCAGCCAATTGCGCATAGCAATGTCCCACAAACAGTCGTAGATTGAAAATGACCTATTTATTATTGTTTTTGTTTTGGAGGATTATTATTAGGCTCTGTGTGGAGTAAGGAAACTTGCCCAAGGTTTCGCCCTCTGCCGGGAATTGAACTCAGGTCTCTCACTTGCAAAGCGAGTGCTCTAACCACTGAGCTACAGGACTCCACGTATTATATTTATACATATATTTCACTCCACATTCAAAGCACCCAAACCCTTTGTGTGACAATTCCGGCCCCTTCATTACCAATTGCCCTTTTCGCCCACAACGTCCACAGGCAATTCACTTTACAGTATATTGTCTTTGAATCGTCTCGAAGGCATGATAAGGCGCTATAGCAAATGCAAGGATTATTATTATTATCACTGTCCTCTGCCTCTGTCGTGCTCCTACACTGATTCAAACCTCGCTATAACTTCAACAAAGGGAAGAGTGCAGAAAGCATACCTAATGTTTTACAAAACTATAACTATAACTGGTGAAACGCTGACATAGATTTGAGTCGACATTGCTGTGCTCCCAAAATACAGTGTCAAGTCACTTTACAGTACATCCTGTGATGCGCTTCGAAATGCCTTGACGACGTGATAAAGCGCCAAATCAACTGCAAGGGTTATTATTAATGAATTAATTAGTTAGTAAATAATGAATGATGACCTCAATCCCTACGTTCGGTATAGGATCTGTCAAGATCAGTGCAGTCAGCGACTGTGCGTTTTGTGGGTGAATGCGGCAGTCGATTTGCACCCAGCAGCGCCCCACAAACAGCCACCAAGTGAGAGATCGATTTACTTGAGGGAACTGTTTTGCCAGGACACCAGGATAAAAAAAAACTCTCTTTTCGAAGAGTGCTGCAGGCTCTGTAACGTACACCTGAACAAGTACATATTGCAGCTCGGTTTAAGGTCCCATTCGAAGGGCAGCATCTCCGACAATGCATTTGTTCCCCGAGCACCGCACTGCAATCTTAGCCCTCGAGATGATGTTTGCTCAAAATCCTGACGCGGGGCTTCGAAATGTCATCCTCCTGACTCAGAGGCCTGAGAGCGGCCAACTGAGACGGGCTGACAAGACAAATGGCAGAGGAGGATTGAAGAAACCAAAGCAGTGGGTTCAGTGGATATTGTGTAAGAGAAGGAAATGTAAAAACAACTCATTATCTGGGATGCTGGAAATCAAGCTGACAATGTTGGGACCGCAATTACTTTGCGAGAGAGGCTGGAATTGATGACGGGCGCTTCAGCCCATCTGATCGCACCCTTCCAGGATTCCACCCCACTGTCCTCCCATCACAGCGCTGAGCTGCTCTTTATCTTTACAAATGAGTGCAGCATCCTGTTCTCAACCAGCCAATTAGTCACTCTCCGGGAAAACGATTCCGAAGGCGTTGGCGGTTGTTTGGAGGAACGCTGGCTCAGCACAATCCGCGGGTTTGATGCATTACAGCACAAAGTCAAGATTCATCTGTGTTACAGCGTTATACCTACACTTATGTCGCTCTTTTCCTGTCACCTGGGCACCTGAGCTTGAGAAGTGTGTGTGTGTGTGTGTGTGTGTGTGTGGAGGGGGTGGGGGGGAGTTGATGAGGGTTGAGGGGGAAGAAAGGGCGGTCAAAGAGGCAAGTCTTAGAGACTTAAGAGGCAAAGATTTGAAAAGATTTGACTCTTTTAAACAAATGTTGCCGCTCCCCTCAGCAGGCTGCGTAAACGTTCCCAAGATAATGGTTTCGCCCACAAACTATACAGTCGATTCACTTTACGGTGTGTTCTGTGAAGCGCTTTGAGACGTCTCGAAGACGTGATAAGGCGCTGTATCAAATGCAAGGATGATTATTATATTGTCATTAAGGGTTTAGACTGGACTGACACTTGCGGACGAGCTCAGATTCCTTCGCTGGTAACAGATGGTTAACAGTGAGGCCGGTTGAAATCAAAGTGATAAATTGTTCCAGGTTGGTGTCAGCCTGTGGGGTCACCTCACACCCCAGCGTCAGAAGCTGGTGAGAAGGTTAATTGCTGTCCTCCTGCGCAACATCGCTCCTCTCCTTAACAGGACGCAGGATCTCAGCTTTGAAATGACCGGGGCTCTCCGCTCCCCGCTGCCAAATGTACCCTGGGGAGGTGAGCGGCATTTCCTTGATGGTCTCGGCAGTCCGGTTGCTGAGCCAGTTGGACCTGCAGTACGCCAAGGGACTTGGTAATGGCAGACTAGCCAGCCTGGATCATCAGAAAGACTGGGAACAGGGATTCACCCCACTCAGCTCCTGTGAATGCTGGACGTTAAAGCTCCTTCGGGTGGGGGGTGGGGGTAGACCTAGCCCAAAAAGCCAGCCAATGTTTTGAATGGCAAGCAACTCATTAAAACCTCAGTGGTTGCCCCAACCGCACACTCTGGGGTCCCCAAGTCTAACACTCTCTGCAATTAGGGAAGTGGGCTGCATCCCTCTAGGAAGAGAGCGCCTATTCGATTCGAGACACAGGGAAATTTTCCCGTGTAGGTGGCATGCGTGAATCTTTCTGTGTGGTCTGGATAGTCAACCATGGTGATGAGTTTCTGCGTGTGTCCCCGGCTGAGCAAAAAACACACACTCAACCCTTTCTGTCAATCAATAACTGGGTATATGTTTTCAGCCCTCTCTCCCTCCCTCCCTCCCTTTCTGTTTTACCACAGGGTGAACGCTTTCAGACAAATTTAATTAGCAAAATTAGCAATCATTAGAATATCATTTTGTACGCTACATATTTCAATTAATATCCGGGTCTAAGCACATTAAATGTGGGTCGACTTCGATTTCAGCTGTGCTGGGTAATTAATTTTTATAAATATAATGCAATTTGCTTTGCCCAGTTCATTTGTCAAGTTGCCAGAGTTAGACTGTGTTATTAATGTGTCCATCTTTAATCTCCTTTCACGTCCGAACTGCCAACTGCACAGCCACAGTCTATCTCTGCACAATAAAAGTTTACACAGAAACAGTAAACTCCGGATAACTCAACACTGGCTTATATTGGCACTAAGTCATCATACTGACACTATCCCAACTGCATTTATTTATGTATCATTTATATGAGTTATCCAGAGTTTACTGTATATATATATTTTTTTTTCTCGACTGCAGAGAGCATCAAACCATTTACAGGGTGCCCAAAGAGTCTTATGTTTCAAAATAAGAAAGCCTATTACCCAAGCAAAATCATAATTTCTTTAAGACTTATCAGACATTGTAATGGTGTCATGACTTTTTAGTCACGCTGTGTATAGCGTCCTTTAAGCGGGATGGCATTTCAACCACTAGAGGACCTGGTTTTCTTTCCCCTCCAAAAAAGTGGCATTTTTCTTAATTAGTTTACGATTTTTTTCCCCCCCCCTCCCGCCCCAAATTAAAATAAGAATTAATCCTTGCTAATTGCACATACTTGTGCATACTTCATACGTCACGAGCCTTACGGAGTCTGAATTCATATGAAGCCATTTCCTGAAGCAGAAGTAATTACTGCAGAAAGCATTTTTTATTGTCCTCGGGATTCAATTTTCGTGACACTGTAATTGTTTTTATCGAATGAGAATTTCGCTCTGCGAGGTTTAGCGGCCGGGGGAATAGCGCCGAAATCTGAATTTCTGGGAGCTTTTCGAAACGAGCAAGATTAAAATCTCGGCAGGAAGCAAAGGCAGAGAACAACTGGAGCGCTGAGCAAAAATACTGGGAATAAAAATCGGGAAGGACGTTTCAAAGCGCTTCGCCCATCGATAGTATCTGAAATGGTGGTGGAGCTTTCCTGCACTTAGCTACTGACGGAGAGCTCGGACATCAAAACCATCCTGAACCTTTTCATGGATTTTGAATCATACTAATATTAATCCTCGCATTTGATATAGCTCAGGATGACCTCTCAAGGATGTGCAGCGACTTGCGTTTGACGGCAAACCCTGAAGCCCGATTGCAAACAGCAATGTCCCACAAACCGTCATGAAGCGAATGACCAATTTTTATCTGGGGATTGTAGGCTACGACACCGGGCGAGAGAATCTCCCTTCAATCGTTTGCTGCTATCGTTTTCAGCAGTTCGGTCAATCTGGGAGAATTTGCATTGGACTGGTTTGCTTCCTAATTAATTTTTGTTGCAATTAACATCCTGGCCAGCCTTTCCAGTTCTACGAATAAAAGGTGCAATCCAGAGAATTAATAATCCCATCCACTTCTCCACTTGCGAGTCCCCATTAGGTTCGTCACTTGCTGAAATATTTAAATTATAATTATTATCCTCTATAATATTAATAATATTTCTCGTGATAAAAAAATTGGGAGATTTTGCAAGAAAAAGGTCACAACGCTTTCTAAATGTCCACATGTTATCTTGAGTTTAGCAGAAATTGCCATGATCTTAGGTCGAGCGAGAAGACTCTTATGCACAATGTTGGGTTTTTGTACGTTTCAGACCAAGGAAAACATGGATTGATTTCTATTTGGAATGAGTGTAAATAGATTCAACGATCATCCGACTGTATAAATGAACTTACTGCCATCAGTAAAAGTGCAGAAGATTACAACATAATAACTCAGTGGTAAATAAATGTACACACACACTGCGAGGAAACCAAAACACTGAACAATCAGACGAGGCAATGCATCGACAAAGGTCCCACAGAACGAATCGGATAATCCTAAATCTTGCATTTGACGTTACCCTTAACCACAGTGGCGAAATGTCTCAAAAGCGCTTCAACAGGATTTTACTGCGAAATGTAAAATTCACCCACAAGATACACAGTTCATTTTACAATAAATCCCGTGAAGCGCTATGGGACGTACACCCGACGTGAAAGGTTGTGATGTGAAATGCAAGGAGTAAGATTATTAATTATAATAAGAATTACAACAATAATAATAATGACAGTATTTTGCAGGCAAACAGAACCGCTAATCAATGTCCCACAAGCAGCCATGAACTGAACGACCAATTTTATCTGCTGGATTGTTGGCCAGAACACCGGGAGAAACTCCCTTCTCTGATTGTACCGATGTGACGCTCTCTGCTATGATGTGACTGCAGCACTGAAGGAAAGGGAAGGGTCAAGAGTTATTTCTCCAGTTAGGAAGGAAACCAGGGGTCAAGTTATTCCTGGGCTTTCGTGACCTTGATCTCATAACATCCAGTTACAGAGCATCAATGACGGAGACGTGGGAGCAGGCTTTCTACATGCCCTGCAAGCTATTGAATGATAAGCTGGTCATCCCTCGAAGCTTCCTAATTTTCTATGGGTTGGGGGGAAATTTACTGACAAGAAATTCATTGTACAGGAAAGGAGCTGAGAGACGGGATTAGAGAAGACAGACGGCTCGAATGCGGAGCAAAGCACCACGCAGACACAATGAGCTGAATGCCCTCTTCCTTTTAAGAAAATTACCGCCGTCCATTGACTTTCGCACCACCTGGTTCGCGTTGAGAATTAAACCTTGGAAAACATCGAGCAGCGAGCATTCTAAAGGCATGCAAACACCAGCACAAACACAAGCACGAGGACAACAAGCTATCACCGAGTGTCTGCACGGACAGAATATCATTTAATCTTAGAGCAAACGGTTGGTTTGAAGCTGATTGACGGATCCTATCCCTCCCAAGTCTGGAGCAGCAAAGGGAGAAGAATTTGGGAAATGCTGGAAATGAGCCCAAGAGTAGGGAATATTGTCTTGGTCTCTAATTTCCCATTGCCTCCCTTTCTCCCAATATAAATGAAAGCTAAACTCTGCTGGAAACTTGAAATTCTGAGCCTTCCCCATTAGTAACTCATTACCCTCTAGAGTCTAACCGGCTAAGGTTAGTGTGGTTAGGTTTAATGACTACCTCCTGTAACCTACTTTCTACGCTAGAGTTAAAAGAGTTAACTAGAATGTGGCTACGTCCAGGTAGCCATATACCTTTTGTGTCACGGGCCTTGTCCATGAAGCCTGCAGGAAACAGACATGAAACAGAACAACAAAAACAAAGAAGCAAGAAAAAAAAAGCCTTGAAAAAACTGTTGTTCGCAAAAACTTTTCAGACGTCGACAATACGAACAAGCACAGCCGGTTAACACGAGAGAAGTTGCGTTGAAACAGATTTCTTGCAGGCAACAATGTCTGAGAAGGTTACTTGAACACAGAGGAACCTCATCGCTACAGAATACGGCATCAAAATAACTTTCATCTCCTCCTCTCGTGTTTCCAGCAGAAACTCTGCACAATCAATAAAGAAGCTCAAAGTTTGCATACAGATAAGGAGACTTGACTGCTGTAACAATGTTTGCTTAACCCACGGAAATTCAATTTATTTTTTAATTCGATTCGATAGGATTTCACTGCATGACATTTTAATACAGTGCATTAATCTGGCCTGATCTAGGTATCGTAATTTGTAGGCTGCTCTGAGAAGAATCATCAGCTCATATAAATTTTTGTGTGCGTGAGGTTCCCAGGCCTGAAAACGGACGAGTCAATAATTTGCCATCACAAAGGGTTTCTTCCGAGAGCTAAACCCGATTCTCTGTACACTGTTCGGGCGTGGGTTTTCACAAAGAGCGAGACACTGTGACGACGTGCAATTTGATTTAATTTTCACTGTAAAAGTTGACGTCTAACCCGCCTTTACTTTACTTTTTTTCCCGCGTTGAAAAGATTTACAAAAGACTTACCAAGTCTTTACGGACTTTTATTCTTTACAGTGTTAAATACAATAAATACTTTCTTACAGGGCAACCGAGAGGGGTGGTGGTGGGTGGGGGGCTGTGGAAACGGGTGGTAAAGGTGTGCTTTACCTCCCCAGAGAGATTGGTGTCGAGACAGATGTCTTTGACCCTGTTTTTGGTCATCTCCCCTCTCTCCCTTGGCTTCCACCCTCAGCTCAAGCCAGGAGGGTTAAGTGGCATTGGGATTCCCTCCCGACATGGAAGGTTCTGTTTAAATATAAATTTGTATTGTTTTTAAGTGTGTGTGTGTGTGTGTTGGGGGGGAAATCCCATTCCATCTCAAAGTTGGTAAGTTCACATTGATGATCAGTGCAGTGGGTTTTAGAAGTGATACAGAGAACTGACTGAATGGAAATCTCCATTGGCTCAGATTTTTTTGGATTGACAAAGAATAATTGGAAGGGGAGAGGGGTGAGTAGACTTACTCCGCAGATTCTAACAAAGAGTTGATACCTATGTTCGCTGGGGCCGTGTGTGAGGTGGGGAGGGTAATTAAAGTCAGTATTTCCAGGAAGACCATTGCTGGGTGGAGCTGAAAACAAGTGTAAGTTAAATCCATTAAAATGCACAGTGTCTACGGATGGAAGAAATCAGTCAGACATGTGTTACGTAAGATTCATGCTGCTTCTAAATCGTTCCGTAACTATAATTAATTCTGACCCATCGCACAACAAACTACTGTGCTTTACCCACACAAAACTGGCTCACCAAGCCCCTTATTTGTCGTGGATACATGAATGGATGTCTTTAACATACAATTTGGATTTAAAAATGAATGAATGGATGAATGAATGAAATAAAATGAATGGGTGGCAGTAGTGAGCATCTAAATCAGTGGTTCCCAAAGGCTTAAAAGAAATGTCAGCCATCTGGTATGCATCCAACTTTGCCGAGACCCTAAAGTTAATGTGCCCTCGCCCCACTGATAGCACCAGTTTAAACCTACTCTGTACTATGTCACGCTTAATGTATTTTGTGTAATGGGCACTCAGAACCGTGTGCTAATATGTGTCATGCAGACACTCTCCACATGGAGTGGGGATTAAATTTTCTTTCCATTTCGTCCTTCTGAACACTGAATCTATTTTACAGCACTGGAAAGACGCACACGCATTTGGTGGAATTATTTCAAGTTAACGACGGGCGAACAACACACTATCAAGATAATGCTTGTCTTTGTTTAACAGTCAACAACAAGTCATTGCTTAACAGACCCAAAGAAGATTATAGGTCTTTTTTTCATATATTCACACCGCTTTATATATTTACATTGGTTTCTCTTGTGAAACTGACAGCGTTTTAATGTGAGATCTTTCCGCCATAAAGTGCTGTAACATAACTCTTTTTAAACAGACTTAATATCATTAAAACTAATTAAATAATGCAGGCAATATTGATTACTCTCTGTGTAAAGCTTAGTTATTTCTCGACATCCACTCTCTGGAACTCCATTCCCATTTCCCTCCGACTTGCCCCCTCTCTTCCTCTTCTCTTTTAATGTACGCCTCAAAACGTACCCCCTTCTCTCGTTGACCATGTTTTAGCCAAAGCCCACAAAATATACATTCACTACACTTTACAGTATATTCTGTGAAGTGTTTTGAGACGTCTTGAAGACTTGATAAGGTGCCACATCAAATGCAAGGATTATTATTATTATTATTGTTATTATTATTATTATTATTATTATTGAAGCAGTTGGCTAGATAATAATTGGCACTGATGCAGAATATTTTATTGCAGTTTTTACGGGGACTGACTCTGCATGTGGACATTTGCCTGTGTCTGGAATGTGTCTGGCACTCTCTCCCTGGAGGGACGCATTCTGCTTACCCAATACCCGGAAAGTATTAAGTACGGGTTGGGGCAATCCAGAGTTTGCGTTGAGGTAACTGCTGGAGTTTAAATAAGCTAAAATCTCATAGCTTGGTATCGAGGGCGCTGTCTGGTAAGCTTCCCAGCTGTTTGTCCAGCTAGGACCACCCAACCCATTAGGCATCAACAGTGCCCCTGGACCTCTCTGACTCGGGAAACAGAGGTGACTGGCCCAAGAGGAAACAAAAAGAAACATAAACGAGAAGAAAACTAGGCAGAGAGAGAAAAAAAAGAGCAGCAGGAAAAGAGCTGATACAAAAACAACGGAGAATAATAATGAAGGGAAGCAATAGGAGAAAAAAAAAGCCAGATGGAAATAACTTATTATAACCTTGGCTTTAAAGATAACACCCACGTCTATCCTGTTCCTGGGGTTGAGAGTGGGGCGGGGGGGGCTTTAGCAACGATTAGCAAAGGAAACTAAAAGAGAAGCACAGACGAAAATATCATGGAAGGGGCGAGTCAGATTAGATATGGAAGCATATATTGTACATCTTGGCTCACTGGTGTAAAGAAAAGCAACTCCCCCTCCCCACTATTACATTTTTAACATACAATACGAAGCATGAATGAAACATGAATTTCAACTGATGACCCGATGAGCAAGTCGCCAAAACAATAAAAGCCAAGACTGTAAGAGACGGACGCGATGATTCTTTTGCGCACCTCAGTTAACGCCAAGTCGCTGACGGAAACCAAACAGGGCTTTGATTTCGGCAGACACGGCACAATACTGGAGGGCAAAAGCAGTACAAAACAAGACACACTGCAGTGGTACACGAAGGAGATGGGTGAGGATGTAGAGTGCATTTGTTCACAAAGCCCTTGTCAGTCCATTAAACCCAAGCTCAATTCTTGGGGAAGAACGTTGTGTTAACTGGGAACGACGCATGGTTTTAACCAGCCATAAATTGTGTGTGGTAGTGGTGGGTGGGGCGGTGGGCGGAAATCCCACTGTTGAAACAGTTCAGTATTTAAAGGCTTTTTTTTGCTATTGCAAAGGGAATATAATTAGAAAATCTCTTCAAAGTGTTTGAAATTGTGCTGGGGGGTGGTGATTCTCTGCTCTCAGCACGGTTTGGGCCCGACGTGTGCTCTCATTCACACTCGAGGAGACAGAGTTCAAGTTTTTTTTTAGCGGTGAGGCCACAGGTGAAAGTGGAAGACACCATCGGATCGTCTGATGACTGAATGAGAATTTAAAACTATCAATAGCCTTGCGTTCAAAGCGCTTCCCAGGACTTAACACAAGTTAAGTGCAGATATCCTCCCCGCGTGAAAGAAAGAACTGTGGATCATTTAAAAAAAAAACAATTGGGTCAATCAATCCACGACTGTTTGTGGGGACGCTGCTGTGCGCAATTGGCTGCCGCGTTTCGCCCACGAAATATACACAGTCAATTCACAGTATATTATGTGAAGCGCTTTGACAGACGTCTCGAAGACGTGATGTGGCGCTATATCAAATGCAAGGTTTATTATTATTATTATTCCCAAATTGAAGATGTTTGCAATGTGCCTGAGTCTGGGATAAACCATCTAAACCTCTAAGGACAAAACAATGGACTGAGGAGAGGAGCTAAGTGTAGAAACACTACAGCGATATGGTTGGCTCTTACCAAACAGAGGGAAGGAGACCTTTATAGGGGAACATTAGAGTCTGCAAAGGGGCATTCGCCAAATTAAGGGATTTACGGCAGTTACAATTTACAATTTCCATTGTACAGCAAGTCGGTAATTCCCCATGTTACTTTATGGCTCAAAACACCATTCCCTCCACTCCGCATGCATCGAGGTCAGTTATTCCCAATGTAAACGGAACCGTTCGACCCCCCCCAGAAGGCAAACCTCCTACCTTGCTTCCCCGATACACATGCCAGTGTCTGTTGTTTAGGCTAATTTTCCAACACACTGTTCATTGTCTACTGAGACTCTTCCACTAGAACAGTTAGTCTAGGCAAATGGTTTGCGGTTGGCTGTTCCAAAAACAGAAGCTATTAAGCCTCGGTTGGATGTTTGTGGTCTTTGGAACCTTCTTCATCGTGAGCGGCTGTTGTTATTCCACCAGTACTAATTATGCAAAAATGCATGCATTTGGCAGCGAGAAGCACACACTTGCATACACAAACAGAAGGACAGCCCGCCACCAATGACCCCATGCATTACATCTGTTTCGCTGAACTGAGATTAACTGATCAATTTTTAATGTTGCCTAATTTTAAACGAAAGTCAAGAAGTGGAGTCCGATCACGGTGTGATTACGTTTCTCAGGAGTTCCACTGCCAACTCTTATCTGCTGGATTACCTGCATTCATTAAAACTTAATGTTACTGGGATCTGAATGCAACATTTCTAAACACTCAATTACCGGGCCGATTCTTTGGTTAAAGACTGCCTTGGCTCATCTCTGGGAATCGTCAGATTGTGGAGCTGTAGTCAGGTCAATTTGTTGGGTGACGCTTTTAACATTTACTACAAACCCGCTCGGATGTGGTGTGCCAGAGATCTCCGAGAGGATTCATATTAAAACCCAGCACTCAGATGAAGTGCTGCAAAGCCGAAATCCGCAAGCCACAATGCCAATGCTTGGCTTCCTGAATGTCACTAATTTGAACGGTGTGTGGAGCGAGCTGGATAAAGGGGGTGGAGAGAGGGAAAATGGGGGCGAGGGAAAAGGGGGAAGGAAAAAAAGGGGGAAGAAAGAGGTAAGGAAGAGGGAAAGGTGAAGAGGGAGTGGGGGGCATTTATCTCCAATACACCAGGTACATTTGATAATTCGATGTAATTAACCGTATGAATTTACTCCTAAAATGACCCCAATATTGTTCTGAGGTGGCGGGAGCAGTCCATACAATGATCGAACGTATGTTAAAAGAACAGCTGAGGAACATAAGAGTAGAGGCATTGTGAATGAGTGTAATACGGTGTGTATTTTTGAGGTTCGAGAATATTTGCCCCGGGACCTCACTGACAAGATTGGATCAGGAAATAACGGTCAGCAGCTTATATCCTCACATCTTTGCATTCAAATTGCAAGCCCAGATGCACGACATGCAGAAGTGTTCAGGCCATGTTATGGTTGGATTGGGGGGAGTGGGGGGGGGGGGGGGAAGAGGGGGTAACGAGGGAGAGGGAAAATGGGGAGGGAGAAAATTTAGATCTTTCCACAAGTTTTCCCGTGTCAAAAGCTGGTACTCTGGTGCAATGAAGTCCAAGGCCCACAACAGAATAACGGTAAGAGATGAATCACATACACAGATTCACAAACACACGTGACACAAGTACACACACGCACACACAAACATACACACACATGCACACACAGACACACGCGCATATATACATACATGGGTAGTAATAATAATACTCCTTGCATTTGGTATAGCGCCTTATCACATCTTCGAGACGTCTCAAAGCGCTTCACAGGATATAGTGTAAAGTGTATTGACTGTATATTTTGTGGGCGAAATGCGACAGCCAATTGCGCACAGCAGCAGCGTCTCCACAATCAGTCGTGAGTTGTGTGACCAAATTATTATTATTATTACATTTTTTAAGGGATTATTACCCCTGGAAAAGCGATCCGCCAATCGACTAACAACCGGGTTCCTACTTACTGCCGGGTAAACAGAGGCGTGGGAGTAAGGAAACTTGTCTTAATGTCTCGCTTGCGAGGTGAATGCTCCAACCAATACACCACAGGACTCCACAAATACTTACACAGAACGTAAACAAATACATGGACACATTTACATGCGCACACATACGTATACACAGACACACTCATGAACACAAGTTCACACACGTACGCACATGTCTACATGGATTTGGGAAGAGACTTGATTTCCTCACAGCAACATCAGAAAGCCCAATAGCTGATGACGCCTTTGGAGACCACGTGGCATTTAGATGTCAGGGGCTACCCAGGTTTGTTGCTCTCTCACACAGAATAGCCTTTAGAAAACAGGCCACTGAAAAATATTCCCTTTAAACAAAGCTATTTTTGTTCCATCTGTCGATGTCAACTGGAACGCCTCTATGCCCAGAGTCCCAGCTGATGTCTAGCTCCTCTTTATTGCCGGGGAGAACATGCACGGCTTAGTGACAAACGTGAGACAGGCAAAAGAATAGAGATGCGGGGAGAGATTCAAAACTGCTAAGTGTTCGCGATCTTTTCTTGCTGGTGAGCGAGCGAGTGCCTTTGTTGGTGGATCGCAGTGACAATACGCAGTGATATTGTGCTCATCTATCCCCCTTTGGGTGAAAACGATGCAAGTTCAACCCCGTTTAGTTCCAAATGGCATAAGGCGAGCGTTTTTTTTTTACCTGCTCGCCATCTTGGTAAGTGTGGGTGCCCTTGGACCAGATGATGGTTGGAGTGGGGTCTCCTTTCGCCTCGCAGGTCAGGATTATCTGGTCTTCAAGCTCCACGGCAGTCTTGTTCTCCACGTAGGTAATTTCGGGCTTCACTGTGATCGACGAGAATGGAAAAAATTCCGGTTAGCGACACAAGAGGCAATAACAATGACGACGATAATAATCCTTGCACTTGATGCAGCGCCTTATCTCGTCTTCGAGACGTCTCAAAATTTTGATACCAATCCCAGGGTCCTGTCCTCAACCTGTTTCAGCCACTAATTACTGCTCACCAACTCAGTGGATTCCTTATTTAAGTCTGTAACTGCCGGTCGGGGGCGTTGGTAGGATCATAAGAGTACTACTGCAGCGGAGAAGGAGACCATTCGGCCCATCGTGAACCGTGGCCAGCAGATAACACTCAAAAAGTGGGCTTCAACTCTGGACCGAAATGACGACCATCTTCTCAAGCCGACAACTCGCCACTGGAGGGAGCCCTGTCATTTCTCACAGCTCGCCACGGCCCTCTGGTGGGAGGAACACCGCAACACATGGAAATCAGGCGGAAAGACTCCCGAAGGCCACATAATAATAATAATCCTCGCATTTGATATAGCGCTTTTCACGTCGGGAGGACGTCCCAAAGCGCTTCACAGAATAGACTGTAAAGTGAATTGACTGTATATTTGTGGGCGAACGCGGCAGCCAATTGCGCACAGCAATGTCCCACAAACAGTCGTGGATTGAAAATGACCAATTTATTATTTATTTGGTTTTGGAGGGATTATTATTAGGCTCTGTGTGGAGTAAGGAAACTTGCCCAAGGTTTCGCCCTCTGCCTGGAATTGAACTCAGGTCTCTCACTTGCAAAGCGAGTGCTCTAACCACTGAGCTACAGGACTCCACATCACAGTAGCAGCAATAAAAATAACACTCCTCGCATTTGATCCGGCGTCCTGTCGCGTCTTCGAGACGTCTCAAAGCGCTTCGCGGCATATACCGTAAAGGGAATTGGCTGCATGTTTTGTAGGCGAAACGCGGCGTGGATTGTGTGATCAAATGCTTATTTTGTCAACAAAATTTTGAAGGTGTTATTGCCCCCGGAAAAGCGATCTACCAACTGACTAACAACCGGGTTCCTACTCACAGCCGGGTAAACAGAGGCGCGTGGGCTAAGGAAACATGCCCAAGGTTTGGCCCTGCCCGGGAATCAAACCCGGGTCCTCTCGCTTGTGAAGGCGAGTGAGCTACGGGGCTCCACAATATTTAGCTTCTTTTACCAAAGACTTTGAGGGTGATCTCCATCTCGAAATCGCCAGCCTTGTTCTCTGCGATGCAGATGTAATCGCCGTCATCATTTTCCCCGACTTTGTTTATAACGAGTTGGGATCCATCCTCGCGCATAATGTACTTCTCGCCATCTGCCTCGATCAACTCATCATCCCTGGAAGGCAATATCGCAAGAATTATCTTCAGAGAAATACCACGACAACATGATCGTTTGGAACGTCTCGGAGGGTTTCAACGGACAACTTGTGGCCCCGCGGGCCCAGCACCCGATCAGGAGGAGCGTTGGCCTCGACAGGAAATGTAAATTCAACTTAACTTGGTTCCTGCAAAGGGAAACCATGAAGAAAGCCATGTCAAGAAACTAGATCTACTTTGTTGGATCACAAGGAAGTTCTTTTTGTTTTAACGCATCAGTTTCCAGGGACTTCATAAAAGCGACTCAACTGCCTGTTTCAAACCTTTCGGCTCAGCATCTCCCCAGTTGGCTTTCCGTGGGGAGGGAGTGGTGGGGGGGGTGTTAAGCGCGCACAGCGACAGCAACACGAGTTTAGGATTAGAATCACAGGCGTTCACTGAGCAACGTTCGGTCCTTTATGAGTCTGCCCCTGGTTCTCAGAGTAACTTGTTCATTCCATTCCCGTTGCCAAGACCCCGTCCCCATACCCCCTACACTCTCCACCTTTCACATACCTGTCTCTATTGCCCTCTCGAAAAAAGACATCAGACTTCTTTTCCTCTAACATCTTACCATTCCACGACCCAACAACTCCCCTGTGCGAAAATCTCCTAAACTCTGCTTTCGCTCTTCCGATGACTATCCTATTTCCTCGTCCTCTCGTCGACGACTGGCTATCCTCACGAATTTAGAATTGACCCATCCCCAGCTAACCACGGTAATTATTCTTTTCACAGTTGCAAGCCTCCTGTATAATTTCCGCTTCTAACGTTCAAACGTCAAGCTGTGTTTTCCAGAAAATGCCACGGTCTACATGGGGCACAAAGCGCTTCCGATACTCGAAAAGAGGTTCACGACGGAGTTGATCAGATTTGACCTTTTCAGAAGACAGTTTGCAAAGCTTTCTAAATGTCCGCTGCAAGTTTCTGACTTGAATTCTTCGGGACGAGTGTATTTCGTCACTCGCAGCAAATAAATACCCTGACATTTGTCTTTCTCCCCCAGGTTTTAGTTGTGGGTTTACGGCACTCCGTCTGTGTGAAGGGCACAGTATAAATGCAACTTGTTCTTGTAATAAACCCTGTTAAAGTACACAAGGGCAATGCAAGACCACTTTGCTCACGATTAAAGTGGTGTCTTACGAGTTATCAGTTCAACTCGAATCCCGGTTACAGCCTAAGCTGAAGCTTACAAACTTAATGACCCCCAGTTGCGTTCAATGAAGGAGAAAGACTGGGGGGGGGGAAAAAAACACACTCTGAAGACGTCGGACACAAAATCTCTTTGCGATCAGCTGTAATTACTGCGCACTCGACAAGACAGCTGCGGGGCCGATGCGCGGGCCATCGGATAAAAAACACGTAACGCAGTTATAGTCAAACAGTAGCTGAAAAATGTGACCATCGTGGGGTAGGGGTTGAGGAGGGGGTGAAATCAGACGCACTTTTATCAGCGTAGGAATTAGAAGCAGCGTTAACCTTTTAGTTGCAGGTTTGCGCCACAGATTACAGCCATTCTAGTTTTCGTCGTGGAGACGTCTCAAAAAGCGCTTCGCAGGATATGCTGTGAAGAGTAGCGACTCTGTGTATTTCTGTGGGCGAATCATCACCTTTTTCGGAACAACATCTGGGCGAATTTCAGGCGTAGCGCAAATCAGTGCTAATGAGTACGAGCTGTTTCACTCTCCGTTTAAGTACCCTTATTCATCTTACCTCTGCCAGGTGACCTTGGGCTGCGGAAAGCCCTCAGCATCGCAGACTAGTGTAACGGACTGATTAATCAGCGCTGTGGCGTTCACCAGCGTCTCCCACACGCGGATACTCGGAGGAACTGAAAAGACAAAGTTTTTTTTTCACTTCAATATAATAATAACAATAATAATCCTTGCATTTACATACATTAGAATATACAGCACAGAAACAGGCCATTCGGCCCAACTGGTCGGTGTTTACGCTCCCCATGAGCTTCCTCCTGCCCTTCCTCAACTAAGCCTTCAAGCACAACCTTCTATTCCTTTCTTCCTCATGTACCTATCTAGCTTTCCCTTAAATACATTTGATACAGCGCCTCCTCAGGTCTTCAAGACGTCTCTCAAAGCGCTTCGCAGAATATACCGTCAAGTGAATCGACCGTGAATATTTTGTGGGCGAAACGCGGCAGCCAATTGCGCTCAGCGGCGTCCCACAGACAGTCGTGGATTGAAGTGACCGCATTATTATTATTTCTCTGTTCTTTTTTGGATGGCATTTCGACAGGACTCTGACAGTCCACACAAATATTCCTTGGGTTTTGGTACGTTGTCGCGTGCTTTGTCGAACGGTCTTGAAGCACTTGGCAGGATTCACTGCTACAAAGTGTGGTGACTGTGTGCGCGTAGGCGAGCGTGAAAGCTGACTGACGAGTCGAAGCTCACCGTTGACAATGACACTGATGTCCTTGAACTTGATCTCCCCCCTGGCGGCGATTCTTCCCTCACACCTGTAGACCCCTTCGTCCGTCTTCTTGATGTTCCGGATTTGCAGATAATTGTTGGACAGCATAGTGAAGCGAACTGCAGGCAACAGGAGCAGAGAGCGTGAGTCGAGAGTTGACCTTACCTTCCAAGCGTGCGGGTTTCGCAAGCGCGCCGGGCCGGAAAGCGCAAGCGCGCGCCGCCAACAACATCGTAGGCCGAGAGGAGCAGCGACAGCCGTGACTGACGTACCGTCTTTCTTCAGCACCACGTCTCGTCCTCCGTGTTTCCAGGTGATGGTGGGTGGCGGGGAGCTGACTGTGTCGCAGATGATAACTGCATCGTCCCCCTCTTTGAACTCCTGGGGAGAAGGCGCGTTCCTGAACTCCAGCTTCTCTGCAAGGCAAGGCGATGAGGGGCCAGGTCAAATGCCAGGATTATTATTATTATTATTATTAAATTATTATTATGACAACAACAAATTACGTTTACACAGCGCCGTTCACGTCAGGAGGACGTGTCCCAAGATGCTGGACAGTCAGGGATCCACATCTAAGCTGGTGGTTGGGATCAGGAGGGGTGGAAGGCACTGTTCGAAGAGGAGGATCTTGAGACGGGTCTTGAGGGAGGGAGGGAGGGAGGGAGGGAGGAATTGTGCTTCCGTAAGCCCATCTGGGGCTTACGGAAGCACAATTCCTTTGAAAATTTAGCTTTGCGTTCGACCAGAGAAGAAGAGGGGGTGCAAACCCTACTCCTCGTGCCCAAGAGATGACAAGGACTCTTTGAAAGGGGTGTGTGTGTGTGGGGGGGGGGGGGAGGAAGGGGTGGTGGGGAGGGAAGAGCTGTGGACAAACACGACAGCCAATTTTGCACATAGTCACGTCCCATGAATGAGTTGACATGGGAGTTGTCAGTTGGGGCACCAGGAGAAACTCCCTTCATCTTGATGTCCACCTGAGGGCACTTATCAGCTGAGTCAGGCTGTCACCTTGAACAACTGCGTTAGTTAATGGGGGAACAGAAGCAAAGCTCGGTAAGAGCCTAGCAGCGCACGGCAGAGATAAACTCAGAGCAAACTTCCTGATGTATCAGAAAAAAATCACCCGAGACTGAAGCTCAGACAAACAACGGGGTTAAAAAAAACACAGGCGCTCGGAAAGTACTTTCAAAGAGCTTTAGCACTGAATTTTTCCAAGGTGATCTTTTGAATTGTGCTTCAAAGGAGGGTTTTCGAAACCTCGACCGAGGCCCGAGCGATCTATCTTACTGACTGGACGGAATCGATGTCTGTCCACTGTACTCCCCGCCTGTGATTTATGGTTCCCACTGACATTAATTGGATTTAAAATTATCGAACAGAACTGTTGGGCTCAAAGCGCCGTCACTTCAGGGATGTAAAACAAGAATCGCAGTGCGGTGTCCTCAGGAACGAAGAGACAGGAGGAGGAGTCCATTCAGCCCCTCGAGCCTGTTCCGCCATTCTATAAGATCGTGGCTGATGTGTCCCTTCGAGTCCAATTACCCCGGGCCCTTTGCCCCGTATCCCTCGATGCCCTGACCTAACAAAAATCTCTCCAGCTCGGTCTTGACTGGATCCAGCCGTAATCCACGGCCTATTGGCACGAGAGGGGGAGAGTTCTGCAGCCCCCCCAGCGTAGCATTTCCTGCTCCTCTGCAAAACCCGCCCGCCTCGTGTCCATCTACCGATCCGCGGCTCGGTTTGCGAACTCCCGACATTATTTTCTTGAGGTCAAAAAAAAATAAAAATAAAATAAAATAAAAACGAACAATAAAAAGCAAAAGTTGCCAGGACGCTCACGGTATATCTTGACGTTGACGGTGGCTTCCGACTCATTGCCGTCATTGGAGGTCGCCACGCACTTGTAGATGCCGGCGTCGTCGATGTTCGCGTTGTACAGCGTCAGGCTCGAAGACACGTCGCTCAGGATCACGGAGATACGCTGCTGGTTTGGGACGATCTTGTCGCCATTGGGCAGAAACCAAGAGATGATGCTGGCCTCCCCAGTCACTGAGGGAAGACGATAATATAATAATAATAATAATATAGTAATAATAATGATAATAAACCTTGCGTTTGACACAGTGCCTTATCACGTCTTCAAGCGCTTCATAGGATTTACTGTAAAGTGGATTGACTGTATATTTTGTGGGTGAAACTTGGCAACCAATTGTGAACACGCACACTCAACACACACTCCCTCCCTCCCTCCCTCCCTCAAACACGAGTGTTCAACCTTGCTCTCTGCATTTACACTGCCACTTGTCACTTGCCTGCCAGCGGTATATATTTCCCACTCCACATTTCATTGGTGCTCTTGTTGGTGGACTTCTTGCCGCACCTCTATCAGGTCCCCACCACCAGTCACCACCATCCTTCTCTGCTCTGAAGAAAACAAGTCCAGCCTCTCCAATCTCTCCTCATAACTGTAACCCTTCATCCCCGGAATCACTCCCCCGGTAAGCCTCCTCTGCATCCCCTCTAAAGCCTCACCATCTTTCCTGAAGTGACTTGTCGGAAGGACAATCAAATGCACTACTATATCAATGACACGACAGAGCAAACACAAACTCGAGTTCAATACTAAGTAGGTTATCAGTGATACATCACCAATCATCTTCTGTAATGCTTTGATAATCGGGTTCCCAACTTATAATATTGATAACAGATTTCCTTGCTCACGGGTCACTGGTAGCTTTTCATAGCGCATTTTGGACAACACACTACATAAAGACAACACGGTTCACCCACAAAATATAAAGGGAATTCACTGTACAGTATTATCCTGTGAAACGCTTTGAGATGTCTCAAAGATGTGATAAGGCGCAAGGATTATTTTTATTTAAATCCTGTGAAGCCATTTGAGACATCCTCCAGACATGAAAGACACTGGATCAACGACTCCAATCATTTACAATGCAGATAATGATAATAATTATCCTTGCATTTGGCAAAGCACCTTTCATGTCGGAAAGATGGCTCAAAGCGCTTCACAGGATTTACTGTAAGGTATATTATTATTATTATCATTATTAATGCACGCAGTAGGATCCCTTCTGTTAATCTTTGCAGCCACTGAGTTTACTTGTATGGCTGCACACAGCAGACATCTTACCTGAGCATTGAAAAAATTTGGATTCTCCCACGCTAACTTCCCCCTGGGATGGCATAATGTCCACCTGCAGCGAAACTGAAAGAGAACAGCAGAGGTGAGACACTGTGTAGAGCTCACGGGATATCAGCATCACACGAATAACCACATGGAGCAGAGGAGCAGTGCTTATCTTATTGGCTCTATTTACTCAACGACAACTTGAATTTGCATCACGGCCTTCATGGGATTGGAAGGCAGATGGAGAGCGTGTGAGGCACAGAGCCTGAGGCAGGAAGTTTCACAGGTTAGAGGTTTTATTTAATTTTATTTTGGGGTCAGCAGGGTGTCTTGACACGTGCGGAAACCGATCACCGTTGCTTAAGAGCATCCGAACCATGCGTGAGAATTCCACGCATCCCACCTGCACGAAGAAATCCCAGAGGTGGATTGTTGGCATGGAATGCCCTCTCTCGCTCTCTCTCTCTCTTTCCCCCCATCCTCGGAGAGATGCATCCTGCTTACCTAATTCCGGAAAGTATTAGGCGCAGGTTGGCAAGAGTCCAGGCTTGTGGGGAGCTAAGAGTGTGCGTTGGGGTAACTGCTGAGAATCTAAACCAGCTAAAACCTCAGTGCTAGATATTGTATATATTTGCTCTGTCGGGTACATTTAGTGATTTAACTGATTTTTTTCCCCCCGTTATAACAGTGGTGTAGCAAGGAACGGAAATCGGATTGGGCACCACTAATGGTGGAAAGGCAATGAACAAATTTCCATTCACTTCACGGCTGTTTTGTGGGGGCATCGCTTTGCTCAAATTGGCTGCTGTGTTCACTTATACGCAATCCATCTGGACACCTTGTGCTCAAGTCACCCAGAAACTAGTGAAGCACCACCGAGATTGGGTGAGTCCCCAATAAATTCCTGCGAGGAACAGGACGTGATTGATCGCGGCAGGAACATTAACAACCAACAATAGAGCAACCGCCTTCCTTCTCAGCATGTTCCTGGTGCGCACGGAACAGGCAGAGAGCGGGACAGAGAGAGAGAGAGAGCATTCAAAGCCAGAGCCAGTACTCCATCCTACTCACAGGGACATGTTCCAAATTCTCCACGTAAACAGTGTTCGCTCTGCTCTGGCTAGGAGATTCGTTTTAGGACGAAACTACCAAACACTCTGACTGTAATGAAACAGTTGGCGCCAAATTAATGCCAAATTCCCAATATAGTAGAAGGCACTCACTACCCATCACATCTTCCCTGCAGTGTCTCTGCCTGGGGCGGGGGGTGGGAACAAAGCAGACATTTTCTATTTGGATTACAAAATCTTCACCTTAGATTGGGGTAATATTGCACACCATCTACAATAGACACATGAGTGCAATCTCCCAACAGAAAGTCCACTTGAGAGAGAGAGAGAGACACAGAGAGAGAGAGAGAGAGAGAGAGAGAGATATCTCCGCCGTCTTAAACATTCCACATCTCAGTCACTTCCAACGGGCATTTTTTTTTCAATCACCAAATCAATCTTAATTTTATTCCCCGAACAAAGGTGGCAGAACCGGTCTTGGCTGACTTGTTTAAGGAGCCCACGGTGAAGATGTGTGGATCCGGTGCTTCAGGCTTTACAAAAAAAAAACAACAGAAATACGCTATTGCTTCCGACAGTGAGTGACACGTTAAAAACGTCTTACACCTTCGATTCATCGCCCAGGCTCTTTTCTCTGTACACCAAGGCAACCGGCAGGTATGACGCTTTTGGTTCTGAGAAACTGCGCCGAGAATGTGTAATGAAAAGAGCTGAGTACATTCTCTCCCGGGTGAAGCAATCTTGCTACGCTTCTTGTTGCTCTGGCAACGTTAGCCCTGCCTTCTAATGAAGCAACTTGGCTTGGGGTCTCATTTATCTGCGGGACAGATCCTCTTCTCGGCTTAAGTGCCGCAATCGAGTTCAACTCGGGAAAGGATCGGATGGCAATTAGATATCGACGCGGTCTTCCGAGTCCGAATTACCCCCCAACCCCAAAAATTTATCAGCCAAATGGTCGCCATTTCCCCAACTGAGCTTTGCTTCCACATCAGCATCGCCGAGTTGATTAAATCCAGATTACAAATCCTATTAGTTATTTCTGAGGCTTTGTATTAATAAATGACGCGTGCGGTTCAATTAAAAATAATGCCCTTTTTTTCCCCCTCGATTGATACGCCGAATATTTTAGAGCCTCAAAGACTCCTGGAACCTCGAAAGGCTCTGCGTTTGCCACGCGCAAATTTTCCGGCAGACATTCGCCTGGAGACACAAAATCACTTCCACCTCACCGTACATCCTGTGAAGCGCTTTGAGACATCCTCCAGACCTGGAAGGTGCTACACCAAATGCAAGGATGATTTATTATCGTTATCTGCATTGCAAATTGAGTCAATCCGACTTGCTCCCTCCCCGGCCTGGCTCGGTTCTGTTGAGCGCTTGAGAATTATTATTAAAAAATGTATTGTTAAAAACATGCAGGGTAACATCCTCCTGACACGAAAGGGGCTGTATAAAGGGAAAGCAGCCCTCCATTCTTTGCTGGGACATATTTGCATGGTCCATCAGCTTGGCACATTTGACAGCACGCTAGCCTTTGAGTCGCGGGTTTGAGCCTGACTTGGGCATATGCTGTTGTCTTGGCTGACACTCCATTGCCGAACTGGGCTATGTGTGTCAAGATGTTCTGCCCTTTGTTGAGGTGTGAAAACCAGACCGGTTGTGTATCCAAGTAGATGCTAAACATCTCATTGCACTACTCTACAAGAGAAGGTAATTTCTCCTCGTGTCCTAGCCAACGATCCTCCACATTCATTGGGTATTTCAGAGTTTTGCCACTATGCCCTGAAACTCTGGAACTCTCTCCCTCAGTCCCTCTGCCTTGCCCCATTCCTCCCTCCCCACTTTCAAATCCCCCCTGAAGATCTTCCTTTTTGATCGTGCTTACGGTCACCTCCTCCATAAGACCATCCTCCTGTGCGACCAGACCATGAGTATCAGGGACCGATCAACTGCCAAGTCCCATCTCATCCTCACCCAGGATCCACGATAGGGGGTCACTGGACAAGAACCAGGACACACTTGGTGGGACACTGTTGTGTGCAAATTGACTGGCACATTCGCCGACAAAGTACACAGTCAATTCACTTTACAGTATATTCTGTGAAGCGCTTTGAGACGTATCGAAGACGTGATAAGGCGCTGTATCAAATGCAAGGATTATTATCATTATTATTAAATCCTGTGAAGCGATTTGAGACATCCTCCACACATGAAAGACAATGGATCAAAGACTCCATTTGCAAGAGAGGATGTCTCGAAGAGCTTTACAGGATTGGAGTGATTATAATTAATAAGGAAAAGGAACCTCACATATTAACCTAAACTCTCATTTTACTCTTCTTGTGATTGTCTTATAATTCCCCAAGTCACTGACTCCCCGACCAGTGGAAATAGCTTCGACTTATTCACCTTGTCAAAACCGTTTATCATTTCGTACTCTCCGTGTCCCAACCCCGATGCGCTTTTTGAATGAGACGAACCAAGGTCTCGTTTAGTTAATCACCTTAGATTTAGAGGTTCCACAGCACTCTTTCAAAGTGTTGGCAGTTTTCCCAATGTCCCGACCCTCTATATCGGGCCCACATCCCGTTTCACGAAATATAGATTAACGTTGGTGATTTGTTCCCCTGTTGTTAGTGGAGCACAGTTAGTGAGGATTAGCTTCTGTCTTTGCGTACAGGAATTTCAGTGCAAACCAACTCGTTGACTGAAAAGTATTGAATTTTAGCTTTGCTTCTTGTTGACGTGAAAAGACATTGCTTTAGATGCAAGTGCAATGTTTATTCATTTTATTTCTCGGTGTCGATCTGTCTCAGTTGGCAGCACTCTCGACTCTGCGTCAGAATCCAAAGACTTGGTTCCCATACAGCGCTGGGGGGAATCTCCATGTTGGAGATGACATCCTTCCGATGACTGATTAGAACATAATCCCCCAAACAAGATCGGTCACTCGCTCCATAGCTGTTCGTGGGACCTTACTTGCTGTGTGCACAATTGGCTGTCGGGTTTCGCCTACAATACACAGTCACTACACTTCACAGTATCGTGTGAAGCGCTTTGAAATGTTTTGATGACGCCACATCAAATACAGGTCAGGGTATTAAGGGATACGGGGCAAGGGCGGGTAATTGGACTTGAGGTAGAGATCAGCCGTGCTCTTATAGAATGGCTGAACAGGCTCGAGGGGCTGAATGGCCTCCTCTGTTTCTATTTTTCTACGAAAATTATTTTGATGGCATTCATTCTGACGCAGACACAAATGAGAAAGCTTTGAAATCACGGCACCACCACAAACTAGAACAATCAAATCACACGCTTCTGTAACTCGCTGGATCTCGTCACACGAGCCCGATTCCGAAGACTTTACTTTCTTGAATAACAGAACAATTTACACTATTATTAGTCCTCACCTTTAAGACCGTCCATGGCTTTGCCCCCTCCTACCGCTCTGACCCGCTGAGTCCCTGCCAAGCTGCCCGCTCCCTCCATTCATCAGGCTCCAGCCTGCTCCATGTCTCCTGCCCGAACCGCCCTACCATCCATCGGTGGTCGGGCTTTCAGCCTCTCTGCCCCCACACTCTGGAACTCCATCTCACGGTCCCTTCGCCTCGCCTCCTCCCTCGCCTCCTTCAAGGCCGGTCTCAAGACCCTTCTCTTCGACCGTGCCTTTGGTCTCCCTCCCACCTCTCTGCCTTCCCTCACCCCTACACCCCCCCTTCCCCAGGCTCGGGCCCCGATATCTACTGTTCAGCACTTTGGGAAGTCCTCCCGCCGACCGTGAAAGGCGCTCTGTAAATGTAATTTTGTTGCTGTTGTACAAAAAAAAAATTTTTTTGGATAAAATGCCAAAAAAGGTGACAGCTTCGCTTGAGATCATTTCTATATCAAAGAAAATGTAAGCTTTTTGTATGAGTGTGGATGCTGGAAATCTCTTAAAAGTGTTCAATTATCTTTAATGTGAGAGTAAGTTGCACTTTCATAACCAATAAAAAAGATAGCTTACACCAT